GTGAAACTGGAGAAGGCTGATCAATGGGTGTTAAATAACAACTAGGCAGTGTTAGGTAGGAGTTCAGGGTCACCAAGATGGCAGAGGCAGGGTATAAGAAGGATACCCCTAGATAACAAGACAGAGAGTCTTGTCTACTTTTATAAGACCCATTACCATAACAATTCCCATCACTGAGGATTTATCACCATGACAACTCCTGCCACAGGTTAGGTATTTTAAAATGACCAATAGGGGAAATTGGACATTATTCTAATCAGGTATCATAAGGTAAGCATTGGGGGCAAATGGAGTATGGTGTTCAATCAGGTCCATATAGGGAAGAGAACACCTCACAGCTCAGCATATAAGAGTCAATAAATTACTGTCCTTTGCCTGCTAAATAGTGCACATCTTGATCAATTCTTTGTTAGGAACACTAAGGACCTGGACCCCAACTAGACACCCTGATAATAACAGTAGGAGAAATAATTTCTGGTGCCACTGTACAGAAGGTTGACTATAGAAAATGATAATGGGTTGCATGTTTCAAAACAATGAGAAGAATTTTGTATGTTTTCACTCCCAAGAAATGACTACTGCTTGAGAGGATAAATACACTTACTTTGATTTGAACATTATACAATACCCAAACATGGGAACATCACATGGTACCCCCAAATATGTACAATTTTAAGTGTCAACTAAATAATAAATAAGTAAAAATTAATAAAATAACCAAACCCACCGTCCTATTTGTGGGTGGCATCTGAGAAGGAAAATGGCATGTTCTGGCTCTTGTGAAGACAGATGCTTTTTGATAGACTGTATCTATTACTGAAACCTTGGTTTTTGCCCTGATGCCAATTCATGCCAATGTAAAAATGAGGACACAGTTTTGAGAAAAAAGAAAAAGAAGTTTTATTGCTTTGCTAGCAAAGGAGAAACATAGGGGACTCCTGTCCCAGAGGCTGTGATTGTCCCCAGCAGGAAAAACAGATGGCTTTTAAAGAAGCTATTCAAAGGCTACATTCCAGGTATGCCCTGACCAGGGATCCCAGCTGGCCCTGCTAGTGTGCCAAAATTCACTTGTTAATTTGAGAGATAGTCACTTCCTAGATCTTTCCTTCCTGTGAAGGTAATCTTGTTCCCCACCCCCTAGGTTAGGAAGGGGGAGAAGATGAAGAGGAAAAGAAAAGTATGTCCCTTTTAAAATAAGCAGCAAAGATTATATACACCCTGAATTTAAAGCAGTCAAAGGGCTATTTGATGAAAGGTCAAGAGGTTGGCTCTGATTCTAAGGGTAAACAAAAGGGTCAAACCCTTATGTTGGGGATCTTGCCTTCTTTTTAGGAAACTTTGGAAACTGAGGGTTACGGAATTTGAACTAGGGACACTTGGGAAGTGGGATGGGGGATGGGTGGGACAATCCAAACACCTAACTAGACCCAGAAATTTAATTATCAGCAAAGGAGCTTTAGAAATTTCCAGGAAGTATTTAGGAAACTGGGACTAGCCTGTAAGTGGAGTTGGTCCAATTGGCCTAAATAAAATATAGCCAAACTGATCTTCATCTTTTGATCTCAATTAATTCTCTACTCACCCCCCCACACTTTTCTACCTCATCCCAATGCCATAAGACCCTCAGAAGTTGTAGCAAAATGTGCAAGAGGCTGCAAATATTTTTCTTGAGGAAGTATATATAAAAATCTTCTTATAAATGGAAAGCTCTCTTTGTTGGAAAAATTCTTTGACAATTGCTTGGGGGTAGAAGCTGACATTTGAGGGGTGCAGACTTGGATAGATATCTGCAGGAGGCAAACAGATGATAGTATTGGTTGCTCCACAGAAGGATGAGGGAGAGAAAAAAGGAAAGATTAGAGAGGTAGGATGGAACCTCCCTGCCAGGCCTGTTACTTGAGGGCAGAAGACAGCTTTCACAGCATGTAAACTCAATTTCAAAAATTCTGCCTTTATAGTATTAAAAATGCTATAAAAGATGCATTTATAGGTTGCTTTCAAGTACAATTATCTTTCATAACATATAGAAAAAGAAAATAGAAGAAAACCTTTGTATAGAAGGCCTTTTGTAGCTTCTTACACAAAGTCTGTTAAGTAGTATTCGTGTCAAATTGTTGGTTGAATGAATCTCTTCCTGCCATTTCCCTCTCCCCTGACCTGCATTTCATACTCCAGCAATTCCAAACTATTCATAGTTTCCTATTTGTAGTGTTTTCTTTCACTGTCTTCTGTTTTTAGAATAGTCTCTTCCTTTCCCCAACTATCTCCCTAAAGCACACACTATTGTCTACTAAACAAGTTCCTACTCAGTGTAGTCCTATCTCCTACCATCTCTCATAGGTAGGGGAGGATCTCTCATTTCCAGCAGGTTTCAAATTTAAAAAAATCACAGAACTTCTTAGTAAGGCCGTTTCTGACCAAATTCTAAAATGCCAACAATCCATACTGCAAAATTTTTATAGCTCATTTCTGTACATTACTTTTTTTCTTCAATTCTTATCAATGTTAAACATATTATCTATTTCACTCATCTAATTTGTGCACTTCCTTAGTAGAATATAAGATCTACTAATACAGAGACTTTGGACTTTGTATTTTGTCTGTTACTCTATCCGTAGTGCTTAGAATAGAACTTGGAACACAGGACATGCTTAATAAAATATATTTAGGATGGATGGAAGGAAGGATGAATGAAGCCTAAGGTCAGGGGCCATCTTCACTATAAGCTCTCAGGAAGATTTAGATGTTATTTCACCCAAACCACTCTGTACATAAGATCTCTTGTACTTGTTTGTCTGTACGCTGTTCTCTCCTATGAGCTGAACCCCACTTTAAGGTCAAAAGCCTTATTGCCTCATCTTTATATACCTAGAAGTGAATCTTTCATATTCAGTATATGTCACTGAAGAAGTAAATAAGTCTCTGTTTGACAGATGAGGAAACTGAGCCTCAGGAAGGTTAAATAACTTATAAGGACTGAAATAGTAAGTAACAGACATAAGTTACTAATCAAAACATCTGTCATGTCCTTTTATTTTTCCTTGTCACACTCCCTTGTTTTTCATCCTATTTCTCTGCCTCCCATGTTCAGTCCTGACCCCACATTTTCTATTTATCTGTATTCTATCCATCCCTAAGTGCAAATTCAAATGTCACCTATTCAATAAAATCTCCCTTGATGTCTCTTATTTACATTAGTTCTTCCTTTTTTTTTTTTTAAATAGGAGGCTTCCAAATTAGCTCTAAGAATAAATGGGAAAGGATATCATATGGGATATGTGGCCTTGGAGAATAACTTATCTAAGTTCTAACTGCTATCCACACTCTATTCTCAGGCTTTTGGTGCAAAGGCCTATTTGTTTGAAGGGAATGAATAAAGAACTAATCCTACCCTCCTTTGGTCTACAATTTCAAGTAGCATTCTCTCAGGGCCTGGTTATCTCTCCTAAGGATTTATGTGGCTGGTGGAGTCTTCAATTGTTTATTTGCACGATTTGATTAAGCTGAGTTCTCCAGGAGAAAGTACAGAATGGAGCAAGCCTCCAGGGGTTGTATGAACTAACAGCATCCCTACCCCAGGATTGGCATCTGGAACACCTGAACAGTCCTTCCTTTTCCTTCTGCATACATGTTTTTGTTGGAGGAAGTGACTATTGGAAAAAGCAATTTCTGGGCTGGGGCTGTTGCTCAGTGGCAGAGTGCTTGCCTAGATTGCGTGAGGCACTTGGTTTGATCCTCAGCACCACATAAAAATAAACAAATAAAATAAAAGCATTCTTGTCCATTTACATATACAAAAAAATAAAATTAAAAGGGCTGAGGTTGTGGCTCAGTGATAGAGTACTTGCCCAGCACATGTGAGGCACTGAGTTCGATTCTTAGCACCACATCTACGTAAATAAATAAAATAAAATAAAGTCCCATCAACAAGTAAAAAAAAAAATTAAAAATTTTAAAAAAAAGCAATTTTACAAATCTGATTCCTTCAAGGTTCTTATGTCAGAAGCAAAGGCTTATTTACTATTGGTCATTTCTTATGTACTATATCCAAAGTACAGATTTGCTTTTCATTAGCTTAATTATCTCCCCATCCCAAGAGGAAAGTATACTAACATTAGAAACTAACTTTGTTGTTGTTGTTATGTTAATGGTCGTTGGAAAGTAATGCAAAAAGATGTGTCCAGCTGGAAAAGTTTGCTTGATATTTAATCTCACTTCCTTGTCTCAAGATGAGAGGATTATAGTCAGAACCTGTAAAAACTGACAATAAATTCTTCTGCAATGCCTTTGTACTCAAAATCTTTAGTCAACATCTTAGCATCTTATTTAGCTATAATGTGCCACCTTGGTCTGTTAACTGTGCAACAATATTTGGCCCTTGTGTCCACATAAAATGGATATTGTTGAAATATCTGTAATTTGGGAAACAGTAGTGAACTTCATAAAGTTGTTCTAATCAACATAAAAATTAATAAATAATAGTTCTTTGAGGACCTATTACACACCAGTAATTATCCTGAGCAGTTTACATGCATTTTATCTAATTATCGGGGCCTCTTAAGAGACTAGGGTTTTATATATTACAGACGTCTAAAATATATCAAATGAATGAGGCACAGCGAGGCCAACAAGGTCTGCAGCTGGCAGGCCATTGGTAGAGCCCACAGTGAAGTTATGTCTGAGCACAACGCTCACGTACGGAGAGCGCTGGGGACAGACCTGGCACACACACAAAAACACGGTTTGTTTATCAGTCCTCTGCATTTCAGAGGGCTAATCCAGGGAGCTGACGACTCTCGTTTCCAGGCCTTGAGCCTTCTAGCCTGATTACAGGGTTTCCCTCCCTAGTTGTGATTTCATAACAAGATGGAAAATGCACCCTCCCATTTGCAGGCGACAAACGCTGGGATTGGGAGCGCACTTCTGGAATCCGGGTTTCCAGAACCGGCGAGCGGCCCAGAGATAGGAGGAACCTGTTTCCAGCCGGACCGCATCTTGGGGCGCGCCTGCGTGCCGCGCCTGCGCGCTCAGTCAGACGCCGCGCAGACCCTGCGGACGTGCGCTTGCTGCCCTCGCTCCTTGAGGTGCGCGGCTGCTGGGCCCTTGCCGGCTCCAGGTGCGTGAGGAGGACTTCAGGAACCCGGGTGTGAGGTGTAGTAAATCCCAGGGAGGGTCAGGCCCGCCTAAATGCCATCAAGGTGCCCGGGGACCCAGAGCAGGGTGCCACGACCACAGCACCCCTCAGCTTCATTTCCCACTTCCCTGCCTATTGAGTTTGTTTCACTGGGAGCGGGAATCTCTTAGGAGGAAGGTAAGGAGGGGAGGCTTCCCCCCAAACCCCCCTCTGTGGGTAGAGTCGCAGACGGTTTTATTTATTTATTTTCTTTTTCCTGACTACCCTCAGAGGAGTTTTCATCCTTGCCCTGCCTTTCCAGGTGTATAGTTTCTTGGCTCGAGTCACCCCTAGGTGCTCATTGGTTGTGGGCGTTTAGGCTGAGAACTAGTCGTCAGGGTTCTTTGTTTAGTGTAGTCCCACTGGGAGGGAAAGGTGAGGGTTCCAGGCCCAGAGAGTGGCGAGGGAGGGAGTAGTGGAGCGAAACTAGTGAGGAAGAAGCAAAGGCCACCAGAGATTATTCCCCTACTGAAAGTTGTCTTTCTCTTAAGTCTCTTTTCCCTTAGGTCGCTATGTTTCTCATTCATTTACTTTTGTGATATCCTAACGTCTTTTTAATGTGTTAATTCAGCCTGAAATCTTGAGGCAGCATTGGATTTTATTTATTTATTTATAATCATCCAACGTGATATGTTTTGTTCTTGTCAGGGTAGTTTTTGGGTTAAACCATTCATCAGATTTATGGTTTAGTTTTGTTTTCCTTTAACATAAAATTACAGTCCTAGCTTTTTTTTTTTTTTTTATGTTATCGACCAAAAAAAAAAAATTCAGCAGAGAGAACAGAAAATCAATAGAAATGGGATTTAGAACTCCATGGGCATCCTTGTATAAGTACATGGGGGATTGCATTTGGAGTGTGGAAATCCCTGACCTTTTACTTATAAATAGAGAATGAGATCACCACTTGTCACCAATGGCTCTAACAACATAGGGCTCCCAGTAAGTGCTTTCCCACATGATTGGGAGGCAAATGACAACAGTATCCAATCTTAGTGTTTAGTGCTAGTGATGGGTTATCTACCATAGAGCCGTTTTGGCACAGGAGCTATAGGTAGTCAATCCCTGTTATAGTCAGAAATGTTTGTCTTCTAGTTCTAGTTTGGGTTTTGTCATTGTTATTTTTGAGTTTTTCTGTATGTTCCAGAAAAAGTTATTAAATGGAAGGAGAAGCAGTCAAAGAGAATTTAGAAGCCCAGCTCCAGACCAAAATACTAAGGCCTAGCTGGGGATATAGCTCAGTTGGTAGAGTGTTTGCCTGCCATGCACAAGGCCCTAGGTTCAATCCCTGGCACCACCAGCCAAAAAAAAAAAGAATCCTAAAAATTCTAATTGACCGTAGACAATTGTTAGGCTTTGCCTCATGGCTTCATGGGGTAAAACCGCCCTCCCATACCAGACTTATTGCCTGGACAGTGCCAAAGTTGCAGTTGCCTGGAAGAAGTTGCAGTCACAAACTTGCCTTTCCCCTCCTGTTAGCTGTGTTCTTACCATAACTTCTTTCCTGGTCCAGGTGCCTCCATTTGGAGGTCTTCCTGTTGAATGCTGTGGCCAAATCACTTTTCTCCATTTTTGCCTCCAGTCCGTTCACTCCTTTCTCCATGTTTGACTCCAGTCCTTTCACTCCTGGCCCACCAATCCATAAGAGGTAGGAGCCTTTTGTTAGGAGCTCCTCTGTGACAAGAATATTCTCTGCTATGCATTATATCCACTTAACCCTCACATAGTGTCCTTCTGTTTGAGGGACTACTGAAGAACTTGTGATTTGTTTTTACTATTGATGTGAGTAAAGGCTTGATTATTAATTTCATTTTGTGTCATTGTCCTGATGGACCATCTTAACGACTCAATACGAATTAAATTCACTGGATTTATGTCTTTTAATGCTTGCGACTCTTACTATCAGCATCTTGAAAGTTGTTCACCTGTAATTCTCTAGCTCAGTGTAGCGACAGTTCCTACTCATAGCACCAACAACTGATTGTGGGCTGTGTGGTATATTTTATAAATTAATATAGCAGCTTATGGTCAAGTGATTTTATTTTGCACATAATTGTGGGGCATTTTCCATTTGGTCTCTAATTGGATGATTTTTTTAAAGACAAATTTTTTTTAATACTTTTAATTTTATTTATTTTTATGTGGTGCTAAAGATCAAACCAAGTGCCTCACATATGTGAGGCAGGCACTTTTCCGCTGAGCCACAACCCTATCCCCAATTGGATGATTTTTTTTAATAAATATTTTGGGGTAATATGGGACAAGTGGAAAAAACTGGACACTGATGCTTTCCATAGTAATTTTATCTTATCCCATGGGCCCCTACCTTTATCATTCTAATAGATTTCTTGGCCACTTTGAAGAAAGTGATTGATTTATTGGAGATTATTGGTGGTTTCTCTGTATAGTGTTGTGCAAAGAAGTATGTTAGAAAGGGCTTTCACAGACTTTTTTTTTTTTTTTAAGAGAGAGAATTTCATTATTTATTTTTCAGTTTTCGGCGGACAGAACATCTTTGTATGTGGTGCTGAGGATCGAACCCCAGGCCGTACGCATGCCAGGCGAGCGCACTACCGCTTGAGCCGCATCCCCAGCCCCTTTCACAGGCTTCTTCACCTTTTCCTGTAGATGTTTCACAAAACAGTGTTTATCGTTGCTATATGATGTGTTCTGGTACTTTCTACTCTTAAACAAGATGCTGATCATGATCCAATAAGTCGACTTAAGTCGAATAATGAGTAGTGACCTGCAGTTTGAAAAACACTGTGATAAAGCATCCAGTAGAAAGCATTTATTTTATTTTCCCTATTTCTAAATTCACATGGCTAAAGAAAATAACCATGGGTATATTTGATTTTGTGTTTAAGGTATCTTCTAAGAGAAAACAGTAAATAGCATATATGTTTGCCATTTGCCAAATCAGTTGACAAAAGAACACTGAGTTTCTGGTAGAGCGATCAACTTTTTAGAAGATACGTTAGACTAAGAGAGGTGGCATAGTTGTGTTCTTTTGTTGGTGTTGGTGATTTTTTTTTTGTTTGTTTCTTTTTGGTAAATCTCTGGCTTTTTTTGAACTGTGATTGAACCAGGGACACTTAACCACTGAGCCACAGCACAGCCCTTTTTTATATAGACACATGGTCTCACTGAGTTGCTGAGGCTAGTTTTGGACTCACTATCCTCCTGCCTTAGCCTGTAGAGCCACTGTGCTTGGCTCTGACTCCCTATGTCAAGGCAGTATTGTAGTAGTAGCAGTAGAAGAAAATTAACTTCTTTTTTTTTTAATATTTACTTTTTAGTTGTAGTTGGACACAATACCTCTATTTTATTTATTTATTTATTTTTATGTGGTGCTAAGGATCGAACTCAGGGCCTTGCACATGCTAGGCGAGCGCTCTACCGCTGAGCTGCAACCTCAGCCCCGAAAATTGGCTTTTCAAAAAGATAGTGTGTACAATGATTGTGCAAGTGCCTTTAAACTTTTATATGTCTTACATGGAAGGAATTTTTTATGTTATGAGGTCAGAATAACCTTTTTATTATGTTGCCTGACAAGTGAACCATCTTCAACATTCAATTAATGACTTATTCATAAATATACATGAATGCAATTTGTTGGCTTCATTTTTCTCTACTGTTTTGGGGGGAAGTCCATAACAAAGTGGAAAGGAGAAATAAAAAGAACTGTAAATCTCTTAGTTAGAAACCCTAAAATGTAATTAAAGAGATAAGAATAAAATTTTAAAATTTGATTAGCATTAAGATAAATAATACCTCATTTTATAAGGTATTATAAGGTAACTAATACCTTATAATATATTGCTTCAAGTTTTCCAACACATTCACATGCATTATCTCTGTTGATTTGCACAGTAACATAGTGTGATAGTCATTCTATGAGACATTTCCCTGTTTTACAGATAAGGAATCTTTACTTCTCATCACCAAGATTCATGTAGTAAAAAATTCAGGATTAGAACCCAGGTCTTCCAGAATTTTCTCCTAGTTGTCCATGTTGCCTTTGTTAATCTAAAGAAGTAATTAAAAGTAGAGTTAGTGTGCCTAAGAAATGTAACTTTGATAAGTTACAGTCCATTTTTAGAGCATGTCTACAATATGTGCTCTAATTGAATGCAAATGCATCATATTCTAGTATTATGTTTTAATTTTCATACACTGCCTTTCTAGCCCATTTTTTGAAAAATGACAAAGCAAAAAAAGCGACAAAGCAATGAAATGTTGATTAAATCTACTTAATATAATTTAAATAAAAGTTATATGTGGTTAGATATTTCTTCTAATATGCAACATACCTTCATGTGTGAAAAGAAAGTACTATTAAGATTTTGAAGAATTTATCTAAAATGATTAATTTACTTTTTAACACAAGAAGAATCTAAATTCTCTTTTACCTTTAATATCTACAGCCAAAGGAAACAACATAATTTATTTTCATATGAATATAAAGAATTTTATTTTAATACTTTTTTTTTATTTTTAGACATTTGAAGTTTAAGAACACTATGGAGCTCATCAGAGTGTGTTACTGAAAAATATGGATGAAAACGATTTTAAAATGCTAAAGATTCAGGAGTGTGTAGAAGCCAACAAAGTGCCTAGAAACAGGCCATATATTTGCAATATTTGCTTCAAGCAGTTTGAAACACCATCAAAACTGGCTAGACATTATCTCATTCATACTGGTCAAAAACCATTTGAATGTGATGTTTGTCATAAAACATTTAGACAACTAGTTCATCTGGAGAGGCATCAGCTAACTCATAATCTGCCTTTTAAATGTAGTATTTGTCAACGCCACTTTAAAAATCTGAAGACGTTTGTGAAGCACCAGCAACTTCACAATGAAACCTATCAGAATGATGTTAAGCAGGTCAGAAGATTGCTGGAGGCCAAGCAAGAAAAGCCAGTATATGGAGTGTATAACACTTTTACCAGCGAGGAGAGATGGGCATTACACTCATGCACTAAGCCTGATCCCACGTACAGTACAACGAAGAGAAGAAAGAGTATTCATGCATGTACAATCTGTGGCAAGATGTTTCCGTCACAATCAAAACTTGATAGGCATGCACTTATTCATACTGGTCAGAAGCCTTTTAAATGTGTCCTGTGCAGTAAATCTTTCCGACAGTCAACTCATTTAAAAATCCACCAACTCACACATTCAGAAGAAAGACCTTTTCAATGTTGTTTTTGTCAAAAAGGATTTAAGATTCAAAGCAAACTTCTGAAGCATAAACAAATCCATACTAGGAATAAGACTTTTCAGACTCTTTCATTAAAGGTGAAGAGTCCAGAATCATGCCCCCTGCCTAATAAATTAAATACAAAGCAAGATGGTTTTGAAAATGGCGATATGGGTGAATCTGAGAATAATCCACTTGATGTCCACTCTATTTATATTGTCCCTTTTCAGTGTTCAGAGTGTGAAGAATGTTTTGAATCAGAGCAGATTCTCAATGGACACAAGTGTTTTCCTGCCAGAGGTGGCAAAATTCCAAGGAGGCTCAAAAGAAGCTACAACTATAAAACCATTGTTAAAAAAATCTTGGCCAAGCTTAGACGTGCTGGGGGTAAAAAATTAGATAACTTTCGAACAGAGAAAAAGGTATTTAAAAACAGTTTTTTGAAAAATAATGATCTAATTTCTGGTGAGCAGAACTCTGAACAAGCCCAGAGAACATTTGTGGGTTCTCTTGGCAAACATGGAACATTTAAAACAGTTGGTAATAAAAAGAAGAAAATATTGACTTTGCCATTTTCTTGGCAAAAGCAATTCCAGAGCCAAAATATGGGGAAAAATTTGAAAGATGTCCTTATGACAGAAAGCATATTAACTATGGATAGTTCAGTGAATAATAAAGACTTGTCCATCTATGGTTCATCAGGTGAGGAACTCTTTAATAACTGTGAAGTGCTTCAGTGTGGTTTTTCAGTTCCAAGTGAAAATATACATAATGGACATAAGATGTTTCCTTGTGACAAATGTGAGAAAGTTTTTCCTTCTGTATCCAAACTACAAAGACACTATTTAATTCATACTGGACAGAGGCCTTTTGCCTGTAGTGATTGTGGGAAATCTTTTAGACAGTCAGCTCATTTAAAAAGACATAAAGAAACACATATTGAAAAGGGTGCATATAGTTCTCTTTACCAACTAGATTTTGAAAATATGAACAAATTTCTTAGTCAACAAGGTGATAATGTTAGCTGTAATACTTCTGAACAATGTCAGTCTCTTGGCTTTCAAAAATATGAGGTTTCAGAGTCAGGTCAGATATCTGAAAAAGAAGGTAAGGCAGAATCAGAGGATTTCATTCTTGGTACCCATTGTAGGAACAGACAACCCTATCTTTCTAATGCACTTTTGGAATCAGAGCAAAGCCACCATTGTTATAGTTATTCAGGGCAGCCTGAGAGAAATGATGGCCTCCTTTACCCATGCAGTGTTTGTTGTAAAAGTTTCCGATCTCCATCTAAACTGGAAAGACATTATCTAATTCATGCAGGGCAGAAACCATTTGAATGCTCAGTTTGTGGCAAAACATTCAGACAGGCGCCTCACTGGAAGAGACATCAACTTACTCACTTTAAAGAACGACCACAAGAGAAAATAGCTGTCTTAGATTCAGTTATGTAACTGAAAATCATCAACATGCTTGTCTCTGGTGATCTTTTAAAACATTTTTATCTAAAGCCCTGCATATTGAATGATTGCATAGGCAGTTTCTTGTCCTATGTGGTAAGGAGACAAGATACATAGAACATTAATACAATGTTTTAGGAACAGCCAAATTAATTTTTAAAAGGAAGAACATGGTTTAATGTCATAAAATAAACATTTATTTTAATATTATAAGCATACTTATAATATTGGAAGTTATAAGTCCCTGTTACACAAGCAATCTTTTTTCCCCCCTTTTGTTTGTGGTGCTGGGGATTGAACCCAGGGCCTTGTGCATGCAACGCAAGCACTCTACAAGTGAGCTATATCTCCAGCCCCACAACCTTATTTTTGAAAGGAGTTATTCCTTGAGACATGCCGTCTCCTTTAATATATATATTTATATATATATATATATATGTGTGTGTGTGTGTGTACACACAAACACACTCAAAAGACTGAAAGGCAAAAATGGCCTTTTATTTGGAGCAAATAGTGCCCCTGTATTTTATGTTACATGAAAGCAAAATTTTGTCCACCTGTAGCTCAAATTTCATTGGAAAACATTTTTTTTTCTTATATAGGTTTTAAAAATATAGATATAATGTGAAAGTGGATGGGGAAATTTACAACATTATTTTCATAAGTCTTTTCAAAGTTAATAGATTAGGATTGTGTGTTTAATATCCTTTTCCTTAGGGATGAGGATTTGGTTTTTTTGTCCTGTTATTGTCTTTCCCCAAAAAACTTAAAAATATGAGAGGCTAGGCTATATCCACATTTATCATAATTCACCAGGAATATTTTCCAAGTGCCATATTTTTTTTAATAATATGTACACAGTTTTATCTTTTTAGAAGAATAAATGCATTTCATCTATTTGCTTGTTAATAGTTAACAGCAGTAATTCACAAAATTCTCATCTAGAAAAATGTATTTCAATAAGATTTTTACATTTATTTTAGCAAAACTTTTAATGCCTCTTTAATTGAGTGGCTCTGTGATTTAACTGAATCTGTTCTAGGTTTGATCAAATGGCATTGAATATATGTAGTTTTAGTTTTTATTCCTTTATAATTTTGCAAGAAATACTAAGGAATGTTACTTTGATCCTTATTAAGTTGTATTTTGATTAGTAAGGTAATCATTCCTGTATAGGAATAACATAGTTGGTTATACATTTGCTAAACAGAATTATGATTTGGGTAATATTTCATTTAGTCATAAACTATGAGAAAGTTTAAATCACAAACTGTCCTTCACATGTGCCATTGTTTATAAAAATCTTTAGGAATGACATTTTCTAGTAACAAAAGAAATGATTGTGTTTCTAAGGTGAAAGGAACAAGTGAGTATTTATCTTAGCATACAAATATAGTGAAAAACCCTCTTTGAAATGAACAGTTGTAAGTTTTGCATTATATTCTAAGAACTGTCTTGTGGTGGTGGGCGGGTGGGAAGGGGAAGGGGTTTGGTCTGCTTGCTTTTACCACAAGTGAATTTTAAGTAACTTGAGTTTAATTTACAGAGATGAAATAGGACAACATAATACCCAGTGATGTACAAATGTGCCTGTTTTTAAGGAGAGGCATTCTGCTAAAGCAAAGGAGAATCACAAGAATACTTTCTCATGTTTCCTTGAGAAATGTTTCTCCAGTGCAAGCAAGCTATGGTTTACAGAATTTGCTTTACACAAAACTCTTCAATAACATACCTATTACATAAAATCAAGGAATAATTAGTTTATAATTTCTAAGAATAAAAGTTCAAGAGTTATTTCCATAATATGTCTGAAATTATGGATTTTGGGCTTAGGCTATTTATATAATTTTATTTGATGGAGATGTCTTCTTTCCCAACCTAAATAGGGAGAGTTCTGAGTGTTGTGCTTGTATGACTGTATGAGACTTTATTTGCCTAAGTGATGCAACTATACTTTTTTTTTTGACCCATGCCTTTTTAAGCTGTTTCATATTGAAAGTTGGAAAATTGTAAAAATTTTGTCAAAGATATACTGTAGTGCTATTTGAAGTACCTGTAACGAAATACTTATTTACCTTTATTATCAGTACAAGCTTATTATGGAAACTTTATAGGAATGAAAATAAAGTCATGTCTGTGTTAAGAAGACTAAACAGTTGTTAAATGATGGTTTGCTGCATGCTAGAACTATTAGTGTTATTGAATCAATTACTTTGGTTTTCTGGGAGGGGGGAGGTGGCTATAAATATCTTCTAAAGAGAACTAGAATTTTAGTTTAGGTGATTCCAGGTTGTAGCATGTTTGTTTACTGGAGGAATTTGATTAGCTAGATTAGAATTGTTTCTTGTTTTGTACTGCAATAAGGTCTATAATTTTAAGATAAAAATGTATGTATTCATGGGAGGTAGATGGTGGTTAAAATCTTGAAAAACCTCAGAATATTTTAAAAATAAAGTTTCAAGTTACACAATTTGTACTTTTTTTAACTCACGTTATAGAAACAAGGCACTCATTGTTAAAAATTATTGTGGACCCACTCAAATCTAACCTATTCTGAACTTATATGGAATTTTATCATATTAACACTATATTCCTTGGAGAGATCCTTATTACCTACAAAAGACTCAGTTAAATCCATTGCATGTCCTATGGTATTCTATCCATTTACCCATTCTTGTCTTTGGCCTTCTCCCAGTTTGTACTAATGAAATAACAGAAATAGTTTCTCCCATGTTACGATGAGACTACTACTACTAGTAGTAGTTGTTATTGCCTCTGGTCTACCAAGTATTAATTTAGACAGAAACTTATACTCTATTCAAAGAAGAAACTTAGGTTTTATTCTTTTTTTCTTTAATTCCACAAATATGGGAGAAAACAAGTGCTTAAAACTCACAAAAAACAAATTTCAACACACATGTTACATAAAACAACCAGTTAGAATTACAGATATTTATAGAAAGTAGCAATGGTCTTTGAAGTCTGAGTATTACAAAAATCCTTTGTTGGGAATAACATTTGCAGAGACTGTTTTGTGATGCAGAATGGTATCTGCTTTTTTAGAAGCTTCAGAGAAGGAAAGAACAGTTAATCCCTATCTTGCCATTTCTCTTGCCAATTAAAAGAGTAGAATTTAAGGGGTAAATGCTAGAATTCTATTAGCACTAAGAAAAATGAGCACATAATGGTAAAGAAATGACAGTGGTATTAAGTGGAATATAAATATTTTGTATCTACATAGGCAGGTGTCTACTGATCCTTTGAAGTTTGAGTAAATACTACCTCTGGGAGCCTTTCTGATTTACCTAGGCACTCTATTCCTTGTGCTTCCACTACTATTTGTCATAATTCTTTTATTGGCTTTTCATTACTGTAACAATATGTGATATATTCGGCTTTAACAAAGGGAAATTTTATTTTGGCACAATTTCGAAGACAGTCCATGGTCAGTTGCCAAATGTTGGGGCCTCTGGTGAAGCAGTACACATGGTGAAGCAAATTCACCCCAAGCTGACTTAGAAATATAGAGTGAGAGCAAGAAACTCATGTCCCATAATCCCCTTAAAAGGGCACAACCCAATTACCTAAAACTTCCCATAGGCCCCAATTTTAAAGATTTCCACTAGCTTCCAACAGCCCTAAGCTTAGGACCAAGCCTTTAACACATGGGCCTTTGGGAACATTCCATATCCAAACTATAGCAACTCTGTTGTCAGTTGATCTCCCATTACACATGAGTTCTAAACTTCAGTGTGCATTGGCCTTATTAAAAGCACAGATTACTGGGCTATATTCTCTTGAGTTTTTGATTGAGTATTTGGGTTGGGGTCCAGGAGTTTGTTTTTACACAGGTTAGCTATTGCTGTCATGAAAGTGCACATTGAAAACTACTGTGATGAATTACAAGGTTCTGGAAAGCAATGAAATGCATTTTAAAAAAATGTTTTAGAGGGCTTAATAAAGGGTTTGGCCAACAGTAGGCCCTCAGTTATATATTAAGTATACTAAAAGAAATAAGAGAATGAAACAATAATTACAAAACTTTTGCTTGTATTTATTTTTAATTTTCTCTTTTTGACAAAAAGTCAATACAGTACAAGCAGCACAGAGATCCCTGGAACAAGCCTAAAAATTGTTTCAAAAATAAAGACTAAGATGTCTTCACATATTATATTTATATATTTATACAATGGTATAAAATGACTGGGCATATGGGCATGAATGGAGGGGAAAAGGCTGGCCTGTGGTGTTCACCTTGGGAATCTAGTGGCAGAAGTGGAAGAGGAAACCAGGAGAGCATTGGACTCTTTGTGGTCTGTGTCTTGGAGCAGGAAACATTGTGGACACAGATGCCCAGCCATGGCCTCTGGAAGGTGCTAGGTGAGTCAGGAGCATGAAGCCAGCACTGAAGGAAGTGGTGTTTATGTGGCTGATGGACCAAGAGGCCTATCCTATTAAAATCTGTGACTTAGATCTTTTATTCACTTTCAGAGGATGAGTTTGCCTTCTGTTGTGCTGATATAAAAGCCAATCCAATATGTGTTCTAAGTTCTCTCCTCTTCACTCACAGATCACTTTATTTTTACTCCTACAAGCTTTCTTGACATTTTTCTCAGAATAAATGTTCATCCATCTTTCTTCCTTGCCCTCTGTTAGGAACTTCATTAACAGGGCCTTCTTTTTTCCTGGTATCTAGTTTCCCCCTCTCCATTGGTTTCTTTCCCTCTACCTCAAACATTTTCCCTATTCAGTTATGATGCCTTTGGTTGCAAGTAACAAAACACCTGATACAAACTTCTTTAGTAGTAAAGACCTTTATTGGTTTACATGGCTTGAATTTCACAGATGAGGTTAGCCTTAGAGCTATTGAATGCATTGAATTGATTTTGCTTCCTTCTGTCTGCTCTTTCACAATGATAGGCTATTTTCATTTTAGGATGCTTTGTTTATAATAAGAGGTAGAGTGGGGTAGGAAGTGAGTAGACCTGGAAACAGCAAGAGCATGGAACAATTTTCTCAGAAGCCTACAAAAACCTCACCTTTCATCTAACAGAATTGCTGCAGAAGCTCATTTCTGAACCAACCACTGACAGGGAGGTAGGATTACTATTCACACAAATCACTAGAAAGCTACATATGATCCACAGTACTTTCAACTGCTTGGACAAGGATCACTACTTCTTATTTTCCTAGTGTTTTCCACATTTATTTTTCCCTTTTCATTTTTATTGCCAGAACCAAATTTAGTCACTGTTCTTTAGCCTTAGATTTGCAATAGTTGCCCAGTTTGTATTCCTATCCCCCGGTGATCTACTCCAACCTATCTGATATACCACTGAAAATTCTCCCAAAAGTAATTTCCAATAAATGGTTTCTCTTTGTGCTCAGCAGTGAAGATAGTTTCCTTTCCCTACATTTGAAAGCTTTTGACCCTCAAGCCTGTTGCTCACTAACATACTTCCAGCAGGCTTAACTATATGCTGTAACTATAACACATTATATAAATACAATTTTTGCAGCTTCTGATTGTCAAAACATTATTTATGTGTCAATATTCATCGTTAAAGTGCTGACCAATTTTGTTTTACTGTGTCAGACACTACATTTGGAAACAAAATGTCAGTAATTATTCAAAATATTGTTGCTTTTAAAGTGTTGTGCAAATTTTTATCTCTAGCTCTTTATACTAACAACTTACACAATAGAATGTAGAGGGAAAAAGGAATCTACATTTAGTTTAATCTTCAGACCAACTGATATTTTGTTTCTTCTTTCACACTGTTCACTTTTGAACAGGGTATGTATTACAAAATTCAAAAGTAACAAAAGGGTATAAAGTATAAAATTCGCCATCCCTACTCCTGTTTTCCCTTTCTCCCAATTCTTTCTCCTTGTAGGCAATAGTGTTACCAGTTTCCAGCCTGTTATTTATCCAGGAGAGTTTACTAGAGATATATTTGTATGTAAATTTGTGAGTGATGGGAGTATACAAATTTAGGAATAAGAAAACAAGTAATCCAATTTAAAAACAAAAATCTGAACAGATGCTTTCCTAAAGAAGTTATATGAATGGTAAATAAGCACATGAAAACATGTTCATCAGTACTATTCATTAGGGAAATGCAAATTAAACCCATAATGAGATACATCACATACCTATTAAAATAGATAAAAATTTTAACGTTGGTGAGGATGAGAAGGAACTGAAATCTCACGTGCTCCTGGTATACAACTATTTAGAAAGCTGAAGAGTCTTAAAAAGTTAAACATACACCTATGATATCTTCTAACCATTTCACTCCTAGATACTTAAGAGGAAATACATGTCTCCATAAAAAAAATTATACACAAGTACTCATAGAAGAATTAACAAATTAACCAACTGTAGTATGTCTGGAAAATGAAATATTTTTCAGTAATAAAAAAGAATTACATGCAACAACTGGATGAATTCCAAAATCATTTTATTGAGTGAAAGAAGGAAAAAAGGCACATACTGCAATATTTAATTTATTTAAAATTCTGCAAAAAGCAAATTAGTAATAGAGGATCAGTGGTTGCCTGAGATGGATGGTAGGTAGGAAACTTTAAGGGTGTTGTATTTGCAAACAAAAATCTGAACAGATGCTTTCCTAAAAAAGTTATATGATTCTAGTGATGGCTTCATGGATGTATAATTATGTCAAAATTTCACACTATAAGTGCAGTTTATTTTATGTCAACCCATAGCTATATAAAATAAGAAAGTTAAAGTCTCCGATTTCCAGTGTATTTTTTACATTACAGATTTCTTTAGGACTGAAAAAAAAAATCCCGATTCCTCGACCCCTACCTCTCATTAACCTCAAAAGAACCCCCATCCAACACCATCAGCCAGCCTGGCCTCTCCCTGTGACCCCAATCCTGAGAGCTGGTGTTTTTTCTCTGCTGCCCATTGGGGGGCGTGTTCCGGGGAGGTTGAAGCCATTGGCTCTCTAGCTCAGACTTAACACTGGTATTGAAATCCCGCCCCATTTTGTTTCGCTTCCGGAGCGGCACGCACCGCTCTACGGGTTCCGTGTGGGACAGAGGGCTGAAGATTTCCGGATCAGCGGATTCTTCATCCGGAGACTAGGTGCTGCAGCTTCTTCTACGAGGTGCACTGGAGTCCCCTCTGGGCCCTTTGTTACCGGAGTGGAAGGAGAGTGTGGCCATGGCGACCCCTGCACAGCCAAAGAAAATCGTAGCCCCTACGGTGTCCCAGATCAATGCGGAGTTCGTGACCCAGGTGAGTTCGGGCAAGTTTGGGGTTTGTGATAAGGACGTGCGAGACCCCGAGACCTAGGGGTGGGATTTTCTTCTGGATTGGGAACACCTGAAGGCATTCATTGGTCAGTTCATTCATTCAAGTCGTTCTACTTAGTCTGCTAGTTGTGAGGAATGCCTTGGTGAAAGAGGCCACCCTGCCTCGAGGAGTACACTGTCCAGGAAAGACAGAGATTAAGCTACTATGTGGATTTTGCTGGTTTTGGGGTTTATCACAGGAGCAGTAGATTCGGAGAAGGAACACTTCAGTCTGAAAATGTGAAGAAAACTATAGCATAGGACTGGACTGAGTTGGAGGCACAGGCTTTTTCTTGCTCCTGAGCAGAATGAAAATAATCTGATAAGACACTTGCTTCAAGTAGCTCCATCTATGAAGAGAGTAATCCAGTCGTTGGAATACATTCATTTAAAACCTACTTACTTCGTGCATTGTTAACCCTAGTTGGCTTTGAAGAGGAAAACCCAACATTTCTAATCCTTATTAGTTACTTGGGAATTAGTTAAGAGTGTAAGTGGCTCAGTACAGAAGTTTTAAGCTCACCTGCTTCCTTCTCTGCTTCCTATCTCAGTAGATTTTTCCATAGCAGAAGCCTGAAATTCATATTTCTCACTTTCCCTTCATCTCCACATATCTAAATTCTAAATATCCTTTAAGTCTGTCTTTTCTACATCTCTGTCACCCTCAACCAGGCCAATATTTTTTTTTTTTTTTTTTTTTGCCTGAATCAGGGCACCCTAATCTGTCACCTGGCCTTTCCTCTTTTTCCCCTCCAGCTGGTTCAGAGTGATTTTTACACAGGTGCAAATATATCACTTAGCTTCTTAAAATTCTTAAACTGTTCTACTTGCCTTTAGAATAATGACTAATCCTTCAAAGCGTTGCATAATCTGAGTTGTGCTTATGTGTTCATTTTCCTCTTTGTGTCTTAGCCATATTGAACTGCAGTTATTTGAATGTGCCAGGGTATCTTTCACTTCCTGGTATTTTGATATTGTTTTCTCTGGCTAAAATCCTTAGTTTATCCCATATTTCTTTATTCATTCTCAGCCTTCTACACTATTTTAGAGAGGCTTTTCCTGATGTCTTAAACTATATCAGAGCCCCCATTCCCCCATATACCTATATTCCCCCCATATACCTGTTCCTGTTTTTTTTTTTTTTTTCAATGAATGTAATTTATTAGTTTCCTGCTCTCCTGGAACTCACATTATAGAGAATAATGCCAAATAATGAACAATGTAGTTTCAGACATTGATAAGGGCTCTGAAGAAAACTTGCTAGGGTGTTATGACAGTGACTGGTGTGGGATGTATAAAAGGCAATCAGAAAAATCTTCTAAAGTAACACTTGAGTTAACATCTGACTGCAAAAGAAGGAGCCAGTTTTAGGAAGAGCAAGGACACAGCCCAGGGAATAGCAAGTGCAAATGCCTTAAGGTGTGATTGTGAAGGAGTTTAGGGTGGCTGGAACATAAGTTAGAGGAGAGTAGTACCAGAGAGAACAGAGTAATATGTGGAGACCAGATCATATCCCATTTGGAGACTGAGTAAGAAGTTTGGATTTTATTCTAAATGTTGTAGTATTTTAATTGCAATCTGATAATAATGTTTTTGAAAAATCACCCTAAAGTGTGGAAATTGGGTGAGGATGAGGAAGCAAAATTAGTAAGAGGGATACCAATGAGTAGTCTAGATAAATGGAGTCCTTGCTAATTAAGATTGAAGTAGACTGGTTATATTCTGAAGCTAAAGATAGTAGGACTTAGTAACAATTTGTGGATCAGGGGAGAAAAATTAAGAAGAATTTGAACAAGTGGGTGAATGTTTTGGACATTTGGGGGTACCTGGGAAAGGATGTATAGTGAGGGAGTATCCTGAGTTCTTTTCTGGCCACGTTAAGTGTGAGATGTCTACTAGACATGTAGTTGAAAGTACTGGGAGGGGAGGGGAGGGGGGATAGTAGGGGATAGGAAAGGTAGCAAAATACAACAATTACTAATTGGGCATTATGTAAAACTGTGGATGTATAACCGATGTGATTCTACAATCTGCATTTGGGGTAAAATTGGGAGTTCATAACCCACTTCAATCTAATGTATGAAATATGATATGTCAAGAGCTTTGTAATGTTGTGAACAACCAATAAAAAAAAAATTTAAAAAAAAAAAAAAAAAAAAAAAAAATTTTATAAAAAAAAAAAAAAAAAAAAAAAAAGAATATTTGATGAACTAAAAAAAAAAAAAAAAAAAAAAAGAAAGTACTGGGGCTTAGGCTGTAGCTCAGTGGTAAAATGCTTGCCTCGCATGTGTGAGGTACTGGGTTCAATCTTCAGCACTACATAAAAATAAATAAAGATACTATGTGTTCATATACAACTAAATAAATATTTAAAAAAAAAGAAAAAAGAAAGCACTGAGAAGGCAATTGTGCATGGGAGTCCAGAACATATTGGTAAGATAGGCTTCAATATAACTTCGGGAGTTATTGATCTAACATGATACTTAAAACTGTAGGACTGACTAGATGACCTAGAGAACATTGTTTATAAACATACAACCTTTATGGTATCCTACATTAGATTTCGAAGACTGAATCTAGGGACCAGGTCTGTTTTATTCCCTAGATACTCCCACTATCTTGTATTAACTAGGCACACATTGTGTGATGAGTATTTGTTGAATGAATGAGTGATTTAATGAACAAATATACTATGGCATTAAGATGTAGTGGAAGGAATGAAGATTCTTGGTAATTGTGGGCCATGATGGCAAAATTAATGCCTAATGTTTGTCAGATACTGTTTGGGTGCTTCTGGACTTCAAAGAAAGGTGATCCTTGTCTTGAGGGAGTTCACAGTCTTCAGATGGAGACTTTAAGAAATTTAAAAGAACTTGTTCTAGTTTAATGTGAGAAATGCCAGAGTAGAGATGTGAGGGAAGTGCCTTGAGAATAGAATTTAAAATAATTTTATTTGCCTAAGGAAAGAATTTCCAAAGAGATTCTTCTCATTGAGAAAGTGCCATTTGAGATGGACTTTGAAATACAGATAGGGAAGTAGACAAATTGGTTTTCAAGATAGGGAGGACATCTTGGGCCTCAATTACTTCTCCTCCTCCTGGTCCTCTTCTGCCTCTCCTTCTTCTCCCTTCTCCTCTTCCTCTTTTGTCTCCTCCTCCTCTTCCTCTTTTTAAATTTTTTTTTAGTTGTAGATGAACACAATACCTTTATTTTATTTATTTTCATGTGGTGCTGAGGATTGAACCCAGTGTCTCATACATGCTAGGCAAGCACTCTACCATTGAGCCACAACTCCAGCCCCCGCCCTCCTCTTCTTTCTCCTAATTTCTGAGCATCTAGCCAGAGAAGTTGTTTTTAATTATTTATTTAATAAATGATATTGAGAGGTTAAAATTTAATTCAAAGATCTGAATTTTGTTATACTACTGTATTTTTTCCTTTTTGACTTGCAATAAGGTTTATCTTGAACAATTTGTACTGTCATAGCTATATTAAGTTGATAATGGTAAGTTTTTCTCTTATGTGAGGCTAGAGAGTTTAGGGGTAGGCAGGATGTACATGAAAGTGGTGGTATCTGAGAGATCACAGATTAGACTCCAAGGAAGAGGAAAAATTCAGAGAAAGGAGACAGGGCAAATGTTTAATAAACGTTTGCTGGATTATTAATCAAATTCCTATGTTTTGGAGGCAGTTTCAGTCAGAAGATAGGATTTAAAACATTTGTAAATTCATGAATCCATTAAAACAAGTTAGACTGAGTTTTCTTAAGGGTATGGTATAAGGAGAGGATGGTTGAGTTTGTATGATGCCCAGAAGGAGGAAATGAGGATATCACAGAAGTGTTAGGTTGGAGTATGTTTATAACTTTGGGTAAGTGGCATTTAAGTGGGCAGTTGCAATCTTGTTTTTAGAGACTTTTCCTCAGAGTCTCAACTGTTTGAGAGGCTCTGTAAGTATGCTGGCCATTAGGTGCTAAAGTATAGAATTGAAGATGTAGATTCCATTTGCTAAATGTTCTGGTTAAGTCTGGAAGAAAATCAAGCAGTCAAATGATCACAGTATGCAAAAATGAAACTGTAATGAAGTTATTTACAAAACAAAGAGAAGGAAGTTAGAGTTATCAGGTAGGATTGAGGAAAGCCTCAGAGTAGTAAGTGGTTACATGTAAGGTATTACTTCTTATGTTCATCCATCCTTTCATCCAGCATTTATCCATCAAACATTATTTGGATGCTTCCAGTGTGCCACACACTGTGCCAAGTCACGTTTTTATAAATATATTGAGTCTTCATGCTTGCCAAAGTTTTCTGTTTTTTTAAGAGATTGTAATTTAGTTTTTAAAAAAATAATAACATGTTGTTTCTTTGATGTTATATAATACATCTAAGTATCTGAAGAGATTATTTATATTAATTTAAATTTCCAAGTGAAATTCACTGCTGAAATATAACATACCAACTCCTATATTCTCTGTAATAACTAGCTTATAAATTAAAGGGTCTTTTTTTTCTTTTAGGATTTTCTTTATGTCTGTCTGGGTGTTTAGTAATTATATAAAGCTATATTATTAAACTCTGGTTTTTGACGTAGTCATATAGTTTTCTTAGTTCTAGTTGAAGGGAGGTATAGGTATGTTTTGATTTTTTTTTTTTTTTTAAATCACAATGGCAAATTGCAGTGCACAGCACTACTGGCATTTCATGGGTTATGGTAGAGAATGTTACTAACCTGCATACCCAGGTATCTGTATTGTCCCTTTAGAGTTGTTCTGTCCCCTCAGTACTAGTACTGCTTTAAGAAACAGCTTTTCCTTAAATGATTTTTGTCTTCTAGCTCAACAGTGATATGAATCTATGAACTTACTGTTTATAATGTTTACTTTTACAGTTAGCATGTAAATACTGGGCTCCTCACATCAAGAAAAAATCACCTTTTGACATAAAGGTAAGAATTTTTGGTTTGCAATACTTTTCTTATGAGTAGATATGCTTTTTGTTTCTCTTTTAAATGGTTAATTCAACAAAAGCTTTCTGTATTTTTTTTAATATTTATTTTTAAGTTTTTTTTAGATGGACACAATATCTTTATTTTACATTTATGTGGTGCTGAGGATCGAACCCAGTGCCTCGTGCTTGCTAGGCGAGCACTCTACCACTGAGCCACAGCTCCAGCCCTCCACAATTTTTTTTTTTTTTTTTTTTTAAATTTTTTAATATTTATTTTTTAGTTCTCGGCGGACACAACGTCTTTGTTTGTATGTGGTGCTGAGGATCGAACCTGAGCTGCACGCATGCCAGGCGAGCGCACTACGGCTTGAGCCACATCCCCAGCCCCCCTCCACAATTTTTTTAAAAGCTAAAAATATAGCTTTTGATTATCAAACTAATAATTTCTTATGTTAGAAAATTTGAAAAATAAAAATGTTACATGGGGGTGACTAGGGAAGAGTAGAGATACTTTGTACTAGACAGAGAGGAGTGAGGGGAAGGGAGGGGGTATGAGAGTAAGAATGATAGTAGAATGAATTGGACACTGTTACCTATGTGCATATATGATTACATGATCTGTGTAACTCTGCATCATTTATAACCAGAAGAATGAGAAGTTATATTCCATTTATGTATGATGTGTCAAAATGCATTCTACTATCACATATAACTAATTAGAACAAATAAAAAAATTAAAATGTTACACATAAGAAAATAAAAGTCAGTACCCAGAGATAGCCTTTGTTATTTTTTTTTTACTTTTAGCTTTTAAAAAAATTATTCATGTTATTTGTTTAAACATTTTCCTGTTTATAGATTCTTAGGCTATTTTAAATTGATTAAGTGACCATGTAATGAATATTTTTGTAAATATACAGAAATTTTTGTATAATATTTTTGGTAATTCATTTAGGATACAGTCTATTGTTTTCTCTTTTTATTGTTAGGCTGATAAACTGAGATAAAAGTCTGTAATAATGGAAGACGGAGTGGGAATTGTTTAGTGAGGTACATGACTAAGCTGGAGAGTGATATTGCTGTATTGCTAAATCATTGTTATATTGTGTGCAGGTACAAATATGTAACAACAGATCCCATGATTATGTACAACTGTAAGGCACCAATAAAAAAATTTGGAAAAAATAAGAAAAGATGACTAAGAACCCGTATTTAGTAAGGGATGGACTTAACAGTTTCAGCAATTTAGAATAAGTAAAAGGAAAACTTTTTAATTGTAGGGTTAATTCTTGTTAAAATAGATTATTTAAAAGAGATCTTTCTATAAAGTAAATGTTGTTGATATATTGCATATGATTAAACAAGTAATGAAAGCTGGGCATAGCCTAGCACATGGGTAATCCCAGCAGCTCAGGAGGCTGAGACAGAAGGATCACAAATTCAAAGCCTGCCTCAGCAATGGCGAGGTGCTAAGAAACTCATTGAGACCCTGTCTTTAATAAAATACAAAGTTGAGCTGGGGATGTGGCACAGTGGTTGAGTGCCCTTGGGTTCAATCCCTGGTACCAAAAAACAAAACAAAACAAAAAAACAAGTAATGAAGACTCAAACTTTTAAGTTCTGCTGTTAAAAAATTGAACTATGATGCTTTAGGAACTCTTTGTGATATGAACCTCTTAAAATGTATTTCATTATTTGAACTTAAATATTTAATTTATCAATGTATTTTTGTTGTTCTGGTAATCCTTTCATCATAGAATATCAATAAACATGGCATATGTTAATTACTATTTTGCAGGTTGGGGGGAGGGTACTGGGGATTGAGATTGGGCACTCAACCACTGAGCCACAGCCCTAGCCCTATTTTGTATTGTATTTAGAGCCCTAATTTGTATTTTATTTCACTGAGTTGCTTAGCACCTGCCCATTGCTGAGGCGAGCTTTGAATTCTCTATCCTCCTGCTTCAGTGTCTTGAACCACTGGGGATTGCAGGTGTGCGCCACCATGCCCAGCTGTTAATTACCTTTGATTATCAGCAGGTTTACTTTGTCTTCCTATAACTTGTCTGTGTATTTTTACATTTGTATTTGTTGGGGCCAGGAGTCCTTGGAGTAATTTTGCATAAATAATGAAAATATCCTGATGGGACTACTAGATTGAGTTTAAACTAATTAGATTAAGCTTTTTAGCAATTCAACTCATATCCAGATCATTTTAGTTCATACTAGCTACTTCTAGATAAAGCCATGTATGCCTGTTCAGAAGAACTTCATTACAAGTTGATACTTAAAGTGATTCATGCCCTTTGTTTTATTATTTAGTTTGAATGTTGATAAAAGAAAACAATAACAGAGAATACTCTAGATTGAATAAGACTTGCTTGATCTGTAATCTCCATCTCTGTCATCTTCAAACATTTATTTGACAAATACATTCTGTACTGTTAAGATGTTGTAGTCTTTTACAGTAGAGATTGGGTGGTTGTATGTGTGTATTTAATTTTTTACTACTAGTACAACTATTACTTTTGCTCCTCCTGATAACATTTATTAAAAGTTCATCATATGTCAGAATTTGTATTAATTATGTACATGTTCTGTGTTATTTACAGCAACACTGTATGGTAATTTGTAATTTTGTATCAATTTTATTTACAGCATCACTGTGTGGTTGAAAACTATCAGGGTCTAAAAAAGTTGTTTGAGATACTAATACATTTTTGTAATTTTGGTAACAGGTTATTGAAGAAATATATGAGAAGGAGATTGTCAAGTCAAGGTAGGAAGTAGTTTAATTTTTGTACATTGGGATTCTGGCTGGACCAAATTGGAGCTTGTCTGAGCTTCTGTGATTGGAATTTTGAACTTTTTCCCTCCCTTCTCTGCATTGGTCATTGGGAGATGGTGGCCAGAGAAACTGAAGGGAATGGAGTCATAAATTATTTCTTTGCCTTTTAATTTTTGGCTAACATTACATGGATTAAATCCCATAGTTTATTTGGTTTTTGAGGAAATGTGAAAGAGTAAACACAGAGATTCTGGTTATTTCATTATGCTAATTTCATATCATGTCTGAAAAATATTCAAAAAATCATTCTTAAAGTTATAAAATTAAGGGCTGGGGTTGTGGCTCAGTGGAGGAGCACTTGCCTAGCACATGTGAGGCACTGGGTTTGATCCTCAGCACCATATAAAAGTAAATAAATAAAATAAAGGTATTGTGTCCATCTGCAACTAAAAAATATTTTTTAAAAATTATAAAATTGAAACACATTCAAAATAATAATATGTATATATAATGTATAAAAGTATAATTTTAAAAATTGAAGAATCACTTAAAATTATTTTGGAACAATATACAAAAGGACATAACTTTCAGTAAATATTCTTTCCTGTCCCTTAACCCCCAATTTATGTGTGTATATGTATATATATGTACGTATATAAAATCTGTGTATATATCTGTTTGGTTCCCTGCCCTACCCAACACAAAAGGGTTTATACATGCCATTCTTATGATTCATTTTTCTTTTAAATTTAACAACGTATCTTACCATATATTCACCTGTATGGATGTATGCCCAATATTTTAAAAGGATGATTGTCTAAATGTTTTAATATGAAACAGAAACATTAATGTTGTGATGCTGCAGATCTTTTTTTATGTGTTTGAGTCTTAAGAGGTAAATTTTGCTAAATATTTTGAAAACAAACTTAGGGCAATATCAAAATAGGAAGCTGGTTGTTTTGTTTTAATTGGTGATTTGTGAGCCTATAGAAGTAGGTGGGTTCAAAGGCTATATTAAAGTTTTTGTTTTTTATTTTAAAAGCAATAGGAAACCAGTGAAGAGCTGTAAATATAATGGTGATATTTAAAAAGGAGAATTTAGATTTGGAGGGAGCAACAGGCAGGAAATTACTTGATTATTATAGTAGTCATGTTCAAGATAATGATAGCTTGGACTTGCAAGGAAAGTTAGAAAGGTGAGAAGTCATCAATTTGAGAAAGATAGAAGTGAAGAGACTTGATAGTTAGATGCAGTGGGTGAAGAAAATGGAGAAATGACCCCTTAGTTTTTGTTTAAGTCACTGAGTGATTAGTGGTGCCATTGCTGACATGCCATTGTTGTTGAGGTTGGGACTGGGTGAAGATCATTAGTTCCATTTTGGTTATCTTGAATTCGATTTTCAAGCCATGCAGATGGAAATGTAGAGTAAGTAGTTGGGTGTCTAGGCTTAGAGCTCAGGAAAGACTGATTTGAGCTTACTTTGTATCAGCCATCATTACCATGCTGAAAGTACCACAGTGAACAGCATAGAGAATGTCATCTCCTTGGAATTTACATTCTAGCAGATGAGGGAGGTAGGGTGTGGGGAGACAGAGAAGATAATGTAGGATATATTAAGTGCTATGAATTAAAGTGTAGATAGGGCATAGTGACAGGGCTTCTATTTTAGATAGAATGATCAGACAAATCCTCTTTAAAGATTTGGAATTTGAGCAGATATATGACAGGACTTGATCTGAGGATGAGTGTGCATAAAATTGCCTGAGGAGATTTGAAGATGAGTAGGTAGATAAGTTCTAGGAGTGAGAGTTTGTATATATGTGTGTGTATCCTTTTTTCCCCAATAATAACACACCTTTCACTGCCACAGTCTGGCTGGGCACAAAATCATGAGCCACTCACAGCTTTGTAGATTCAAAACAGCAATTCTTTATTCCTGAACTCACACTGGCCCTCTACAAACAATTTCTGGGGGAAAATTCACGTTGTGGGCAAAATCCACACTCCACCAGGCTCTAATCAGCAGGATACACCCTATTCCCAGCAGGGTACACCTTAAACCTGGAACTGCCCTAAACCCAAGGAGCGGGATACTCCCTAAAACCTGATCCGCCCTAAACCCGGATCCGCCCTGGTCCTTGAGCAAGGTCACCTTACTCAAGCATAGTGCAATGTCACTGCAAATGACCTGAGTCTAAGACAAGCCCATTTCCACAATGGAGAGTCCTTCCTCTAAGCAACATGGGGTAGGCTGACAAGAAAATTTGGATGTCTCATTCCTACTTGGCAATGGCTCTCAGCATTTCACTGCACTGCATAGTTTTTTTTCCCTCCCATTTAAGTTTTTTTTTTAATGTTTATTTTTTAGTTGTAATTGGACACAATACCTTTATTTCACTTATTTTTATGTGGTGCTGAGGATTGAACCCAGGGTCTTGGATGTGCGAGGCGAGTACTCTACCGATGAGCCACAACCCCAGCTCACCACCCCCCAGCATTTAAATTCTTGCTATTAGTATTTTCTTCCTGAAAGACCTTTTGTAGTAAAATGACTAAAAGCTACCAGTGGTTTTTTTTTTTTTTTTTAAAGCCACATTGGCTGCATTATTTTTAACTGTTACTGTTGGAACTTGGCATAGATTTACAATGGCACTTTTGATAGCCATTTTCTCATCTTATATACATTTTTGAGTATTAAGATCAACACATAAATCAGAGTATGTGTTTAAAATGTAAATGACCAGTGTTTCAGATTAGTGCCTGAGCAAATTGTTTTGCTGAGCTATGTGGCACCTTCCATATTGGGGAAATGGCTTGATGTATTTATTAACCTATTAGTAGGCTATCAAAATAGGCTGTATATATCCACAAGGTTCTCTTGATATGATAATTAAACTTCTCATGATATATATTGTTTGCACTCAACCCCATTTTACCCAGAATGCATCTGGGAAATAACAATTAGTTCTTAATATTCTTATAATGTAAACAACAACAACAACAACAAAAACACTTCTAGGTTTTCAAAATTAGATAATTCCTAAAAGACTTTTTTGCTCAGTCATGTAATTAATGTGTATATGTTACATAATTGACTAATTTTTGCTATTCTTGGCATTGTCAGATTTGGCAAATTTATGTATCCAAGTTTGTAAACTATTAAAAGTTATAATTGTTATGTGTTCGGTACCAACTTTGTGCCAGCTTATTTCTAAATACCTTGCATGTAGTAGCTTATTTATCCCCACAATAACCCTAAAACACTATTATCATCCTGATGTTGGGGATGAGGAAATTAGTACAAGGAGTTTTAATAACTTGCCCAAGATGTTTCCCAGTAGTTGAAAGGAGTACTAACTCCTGATTCTCTGGCTTTTGTGCAATACTCTGTTCTTAAGTAGGACAAGAGTCCATTTTTTTCTAGCAATCTCTTGCACACTTTGGTATGATTATTAATCCTACTGTGAATTTATTTAATTGCTTTTTATGCTTTAAAATATTACCTGTAGAACAATTTGCTTTACCAGTGTTTATATTAATTTTTATTTGAAATGTATAAACCCTTTTATTATAAAATTTAGCAACAGGAAAACAAAACAAAATAGAAGGTTGCCAATATTCCCGAAGCCGCTTGCTTGTTCCTCTGCCTATGAATACTATATGCTGCAGTCTGGCTGGGCACAAAATAACTGAGCCGCCACAAAGCCTTGTAGGTTCAAACAGCAACTCTTTTTTATTCCTGAACTCTCTCCAGCACTCTACACACATACTTCCCGGGAACACCCTGCCTCCTCCGGGCTCTGCACTCCAATTCTCTCAGAACCCGGTGAGAACTCAAGGGGAACTCCAAAGTAGTGGGCGCCCAAGGCAGCAGGATCAGTCCTAATCCCAGCAGGATCCGCCCTAATCCTAGAGCCGCCCTATTCCCAGCAGGATCTGCCCTAATCCCCTGGAGCCTCCCTAATCCCGGAGCAGGGTCACCTTTCAACCATTCCCTCTGGCAAAAATGCCAGGCGTCATTCTGACTAAACTGTGGCTCTCAACATCTCCCCCCTTCTGTTTAATTAAACAACAAGCATGTGGCTTAGGGACCTTGCCTGTCTTAGGTTGTCCAATACTACATATGGTCCTTACCGGTCATCGGATGAGCTGACCTCCAGGCGTCAGCCTCCTGTCTTAGGTTGGTACCATTGTAATTGGATCTTACCCGTCATTGGCTACCTGTCCAACATACAGCCATACTTGTGGATAGGCCTTTGCACCAGTGTGGGGGTGAGGTTTTTTGCCTCACCTCTATTGGCCCCCAAATTTTAGACCATCACAAGCAGAAAGGGAGGAGGATGCAAACTGCCACGGCACCAAGCCAAATGATGGCTCTTTTTGGAAAAATTGTACCACTGATGACACCATCAGCAAAGATACCCCAGCACTACCACAATTCGCTGCACCAACAGATAGTTCACAATGCATGCAAGTGATACATAGTCCAGGCAAGTTCTGCAAGTAGTTCAAAGCAGAGGAATCCATCAATATGTCCATTTCCTCCCAAAGTAAATTGACTCCTTGATTGAGCATCACTTGTTGAGTATTATTCATTGATGCATCAGTTTATACAGTTTACTGTGATAGCCATCGAAGAAGCTGTAGTTTAGTTTTATCTTTGTCTTCACTGGCACTGGGATGAAGATAGGAACTCTGGCAATGATGGCTAAAAAAAAATTATGTAACATTCCAGCAGGCACTAAAAGAAAGCAATTTTCTAAACAATATACATTATCCTGATCAGAATTATTAAATATAATGAAAAAGAAAGGTAAAAGTAAACAAACAGATCTGTTGACTTCCTTTTGTTCACATATTAAAACAATCCTCAATAGCTGTTTACCCAATTTAAATTAAACCATTTAAATCACATGAATAAAAAAAAATTCGGATCCATTTTTTCATGAGCGCTCCTCATATATATGGACATACGCACATACAGACATACAACACAAAACACAAGTGTGCACACATAACATACAACACATAAGACAATAGTAAAGACCTTGTAGCTTTTTACAGGTGAAATCTCCATTGCAATGTTTAAAAACTCCACAGTCAAAAACTAGAACTGATCAGCAAAACATTAACCTAGGTCTGTATGAGCTCAAAAAATAAAATAGAACTTCGTGATGTGGGAAAAGGCAATAATAAAATAGATATTGATAAAAAAGCATCCTGGTTACCACCTGGGTTTGACTCTTCTTATGATTTCCCATCCTTCTTCCTGTAACTTGCATATGAGTCTGAAGGTATTCCCACAAGTAAGCCTCAAGGTTTCTTAGATTTGAAATAGGCCTTAATGGTGTTCATTATTCATTAGCCTCCAGGTGTGGGAGAATCACTGTAGCAGATGTAAGAATAGCTAAACTGGAGTTCTGAATATCAGCTGTTATGGATTTGAGCCAAATCATCTTCTTTTTGGTCTGTAGAAATCGCTTTAGTTAATTTTTCTGGAATCCAAATCAGCTGCTGTTCTCCTTGTGGAAACACACAGACACCCGACTCCAGACAATCACTGGGTCAGGACCTTTCCATTGTCCTGTTATAATATAAGTACATTTTAATAGTTTGATGAGCTCTTTCAACTATGCCTTGTCCCTGTAGATTATATGGGATTCCTGTTAAGTAAAACATTAACTGATTTTTCTTCAGGGATGATGTTCCAAAATATCCTATATGCATCCTTCGGAAATTTAAAGATCCTTTTAAATTCAACTCTTCCAAAAGCATTTTGCCTTAGTTTTTAGAATTACTTTAGTCCTTTTAATTTTTTGATGTGGTTTTAAACCAATTTCCTTCTAGTTTAATATTTTCTAAATTGGCTCTTGTCTATAAATTTTAACACCCTCATCTGAGACTTCTAATTTCTGCACCACCAGAAATTAAAGTTGATGGGCTTTTTGAAAAAGTTACTAATAATCTTCTTGTTCTATTTTATCCAATATTTGGCTTTAAACTTTTCTCTTTTTCCTTTTTCTATCTTGAATGTCTGTATCTAATAGTTGTCTTAGCTTTTTGTATTTTTTATCTGAAATACCTTTATTTGACATTTTTAACCATTTTTTATCTTGTTTCTATCTTATAGTTTTCTTCTAAGGTTTGTGCATTCACCCTTACTTGCTTTTTTTCCTCCTAGTTTTTTTTTTTTTTTTGCTTCCTATTTTGTGGATTTAAAATTCTTGTCTTCCTACATCTTTCTTTCTTTTTTTTTTAACCTTTCTGTACTTTTGTCTTTAAAGTTTTCCACTTTAAATTTTTTTTAAAAAGAGAGAGAGAGAATTTTTTTTAATATTTATTTTTTAGTTTTCGGCAGACACAACATCTTTGTTTGTATGTGGTGCTGAGGATCAAACCCGGGCCGGCACGCATGGCAGGCAAGCGCGCTACTGCTTGAGCCATATCCCCAGCCCCCACTTTAAACTTGTAATCTTCTTTATCCAAATTGCTTTTATCCTATTATCTTCCCATTTTCATGTTTTGTTTTTTTTTTTTAAGTAATGCTTTTAAGATTAACGAGGCTTCGAATGAAGCCTTTCCTCTGCCATGAAGGCATCTTAATCACCTTCAATTTAACCTTTTAAAGCCTTTTTGCAACTTATTTAGACATTTTACAACTTTTTACTTTACCACACAAAGATTATCTCATCTAGAAACATTTTTTTTCAACCTTTCATATTAAAATATATTTCCACATCTTGAATCTTTTTATATCTCTTTTCTAGCCGTTAGCCCTTTTTATAAATTCACATTCTGAAACAACCCTTATAAAATTTCTGAATTTAGACAAATTACTCCACTTTAATAAGATGAAATACTTTCTTGTTTTTTATGGTACTATAATACTATAATTGAAACCCAACTGAAACTTTTTATACTCTTTGTATATAAATTACACCTGATCGAATCTTAACTCTTAGTAACCTTGTTTCAGCAAAGACACAGATGCAAAGCAATATTAAACCTTTTTTCCATTTACCAATTTATGAAAACACACATCATGCTTAAATATATTACTTTATGGAACTTAATAAGTAAAGAGTACTTGATTTTATATTTAGTGGTTGATGTTTCAACACTTTAGCTTTGTAAATTAATCAGATGTCTGTAAAAACCAAGATCTTAGACAAGTGTAGTAAACAGAATTAGCCGTCTCTTTCTTGTTGAAGAAAAATATTTTTACAGGATACCATGATGGTCCCATTGTGATATATTCAACAACTCCTTTTTAAAAAGCCATGGGCTACATTTTTGTATTTTATCAACATATGCCCTAACTGTTCTTGGTATTACTGGGGTGCGTCCTTCCTCTAACAGTTTCTCTTCCTCTGGGGCGAACAACTTCAAACCTTGAGCCAAACATTTTCCCCACTTTGCCTGAGAAAGTTCTAGGGACAGACAACTTGAAATAAAAACAAAATACATCAAAACAAGAATACATTGGTTTTTGAAATGGTCACCCATTCTTTTGCTTTCCTTCAGGGGCGAGCAATTTCACTTACCTCCAAGCTTCAGGCGCTCCCCATACGGGCCACCAAATGCCGCAGTCTGGCTGGGCACAAAATAACCAAGCCGCCACAAAGCCTTGTAGGGTCAAACAGCAACTCTTTCTTATTCCCAAACACTCTCTGGCACTCTACACACACTTCCTGGGAATACCCTGCCTCCACCGGGCTCCCCGCAAGAACTCAGGGAACTCCAAAGTAGCGGGTGCCCAAGGCAGCAGGATCCGCCCTAATCCCAGAGCTGCCCCAATACCAGAGCAGGGTCACCTTTAACCATTCCCTCTGGCAAAAATGTCAGGCGTCATTCTGACTCAATTGTGGCTCTCAACAACTAAGTTTTGCTTGTTTTTGAACTATAAGTAGGATCATAGTATATATTCTTTTGTGACTGGCATCTTTTGTTCACAGTTATTTATTTTTTAATCATCTATATAATAAACTTAGAAGTAGATAGTTCAGAAGTTCATAATGTCAGTACCCTTGTCACTGTGTTCAAATAATTTTTTTGGCTTCCCCTGTGTGATTACCAGGAGGCTGTAGCCCTCCAGACCCCATGTTTGTTTGTTTGTTTTTATATAATTTTATTAGTTATAAATGGCCACAATACCTTTATTTTATTTGTTTATTTTTTATTTGGTGCTGAGAATTGAACCCAGTGCCTCACACATGCTAGGCAAGTTCTCTACCACTGAGCCACAATCCCAGCCCAGATCCCATATTTTGCCTGACTATATCCCAAGAAAAGAAGCAGGAAAAATTATGGCAGCAAAGGAATTTCCCTTTGCATGTCCTCTCTTTTTTTCTCATATGATTCAGTTATTGATACAGTTAATGGACCTAACTTGTTGTATATAAATTGTCCAACTTTGGAAGAATTTAATGGAATGTATGTTAAGTTTGTGGCACAGCCTTGGGTACATTGTATGCTTGCTGTCAGTGAATACTGATAACTTACACAACTGGAACTTTTCATACTTTGAAGTTTTTCTGAAATGATTTCTAGTGCCTTTCTTGTACAGCTTTAGTTAGGCTGGAGATGTAGAGTGTGTCGCTCAAGGTGTTCCATCCACTCTTCTGCCTCGCTGGCTCTAGAAGCCACTAATACCTTGATAGTGTTCTATCTTTGTATTTTTGCCTATAGTAAAAATCTTCACTTCATTCTCAGCAAAGTTCTGTGACATTATTTGCTCAGTGAAACTATTTAAGAGCTCAGAAATCAGTGGAATACGATTTTGACAGGATAATGGTCTTCTGGAATACTAAATTTATAATTCATATACATTTAATTTTCAAGCTGGAAACTATTATCTAGTGGCAGTGTTCTGTTCTGGGTAGTTTATTTCCAATATTACAAGAGGATAAAACTAAATTAGTGGCATTTGAATTTGCCTTTGGAGAGATACCCCACGACTGTAGTATCAGCTATTCATATAAAACAAAAGTACTTGTGTAATAAAAAGGTAGTATAATGAAGAGAAAGATCTGGTAATCCCTACGAAGTATTTTCTAATATTTTAGGTTCACTGTCAAGACTAATGACTATTTGACTTCCAAATTTGCGACATAGATTGATATGCCCATGAAATAAAAGCGTGATGGTCGATGCTTAAGTTGTTCAGACAGACCTGGGGGTATAGCTCAGTTATAGAGTGCCTAACATGTGTGAGGCCCTTGTACAAGTTGTACAGGTTGGCCTTTGACAGTCGTGATCTGATATGACTTATCTTTAAAATAAAAGATTCCAAAATCTATTTGCATTAAGAACTCTGCAATATTTTGTTTTCTATTTAAACATTTTATTTACTTTAGTTTATTAAATAATAATAATTTTATATAATTATTTTTATTTTTATGTTTTTAGGTTTGCCATCCGAAAGATAATGCTGTTGGAATTTAGGTGAGTTAAAAGGAAATTACTTTAGCTGGGTACGGTGGCACATGCTTGTAATCCCAGCGGCCCAGGAGGCTGAGACAGGAGGGTCAAGAGTTCAAAGCCAGCCTTAGCAACTTAGCAAGACCCTAAGTGACTCGGCAAGATCCCGAGTTGCTGGGAAATACAAAACAGGGTTGGGAATGTGGCTCAGTGGTCTGAGTGCCCCTGAGTTTAACCCCCCTTCCCCCCAAAAAGAAATTACTTTGATGAAGTTAAAGATGATAATGTGATTTAAGTCTTAGCCACTTTTTAAATGTATCTCTATGAGCAGTTAAGAAAATAAGTCTATCCACTTACAATATAACTTATTTTGCACAAGGTAGAATACATACTTATCTTGCACAAGGACCTGGGTTCAGTCCCCACCACCAAAACAATAAACAAGAACAACAAAAAATAAAGAAAATAAATTTGTGGGGATTTATATTTTTGTGATTGGTTTATTTTGGATATATATGTATTTTTTTTCCAAAGATGCCCTGTTACCAGAAGAACTTGTATTTTGCGGTGTTTCTCACTGCATAAGGTAGCATATGCTGAGCAGTTTCTGTCTTGCTTGGTTTGTAGTGATCATTTTGAATAAATTGGGGATATATTCTATAGCCATTTTTTTCTGTCAACCTAATGTGTTGTTACCAATGCATCATTATTCAACCTATCCACTGATAACATAAATATTTCAGATAAGAGAGAATGAACAACTTTAAATTGTGAAGGTAGATTAGATCATGTTATAAACTAGGGTTTGGCCAGTACACTGTAAATAACAGCCAGGATTGTTGTTGATAATAATATTTACCACTTATTGAACTATTGCCTTGTGCTAGGCATAGTGTTAAACATTTTTATTTATAGAGTACTCAGTAGCAGTCCTGCAAAGCAAGTATTATCCTTTCCATTTACCAGAAGAATCTAGGATCAGAGAGCTGAAGTAATTTATTCAAGATATTACAATGAAGTAATTGGAAGATCTGGTATGTCAACGTCTAATGCCAAAACTCATGGTTTTTCCACTTCTGTCTACCTGTTGAGATCTGGTTTCCATCAGAGGTCAGGGCTTCGGTATATATAATATTTATTCTCTACGTACAGTGATTTAATCCTTATAAAAATGGCATGAAGTAGGTGGTCTTATTCTTAAAGAAGGAAATTGAAGTTTATAGTTATTATTTAAAGTAAGTTGAGATAGTTACATACTAAAAACTGTATTATAATATGATCTCATTAAATCTTCACAGTAACCCCATAAAGGAGAACATTGTAGGCTAGAAATTAGACCCTACCTAGTCCTTAGATAAACGTGCCCTTTCCATAGTGTCACATCACCTTTCAAAAGTTAGCCAGCTTTTTGTTGCTCTAACAAAATACCTGAGATAATCAAAAGGGTTTATTTTGATTCATGGTTTCAGACCATAATTGCTTGGCCCTGTTTCTTTAGACCTGTGGTGGCATAATAAATCATGGTAGGAACACATGATGGAACAGGTGTATTCACCTTATGGCAGCTGAGAAGCAAAGAGAGAGGAAGGCACAAGGGTCCAATGTCTCTTTCAAGGGCATGCCTCCAGTGATCTAACTTCCTTCCCCTAAGCCTCACCTAGATTCCAAGCCTATAAAACATGGTCTTTTGAAAGCTATGCAAGATCCAAACTATAGCAAATCAAAAGGATAACGTTATGCAATTAAGATTAAGCAGACATCTAGAATAAAGACACCAGGAGGACATGAAGATTTTTTAAAATTCTTTTTAGATGTATATGACAATAGAGTGTAGTTTGACTTATTATACATACATTTTGGAGTACAACTTATTCTAACTAGGATCCATTCTTGTGGTTGTACATGATGTAGAATTTCATTGGTGGTGAATTCATATATTAACATAGGAAAGTTAGGTCTGATTCATTCTACTGTTTTTCCTATTCCAGTCCTTCTTCCCTTCCCATTTTTCTCCTTTGTCTAAGCCACTGGCAGGATGTGTTTTGTATAACAAAACACACTGAAATTATCAATGACAGTTAAAGATTTTTAATAACTGAAAAAGTGGGTTGTTGTCTTTAAGGAACTTTTTTGTATATCTTCAAAGTAAGAATGTCATTTTCTCTGTACCAGTCTCCAGACATAACCATTCTAAAGTTTGTAATAAAGAGTAACTTAGGGTGTCTTGGTCTAGTAGAAAGTGAGATGGCATGAAGTTAGCTGGGTACTAGAAAGTGAATTGAGAAAGGAGGAAGTGAGTTTTCTGTCTAGAGTTCCAGTGAGATAGTTAGAGTCTTGCAAAATGTAGCATCTTATTTGTTGTCATGGAAGCATTGAAATATCCTCTGAACAAAACCCTTCCCACAAAACAATGACTGGGGATGCAGAGGCAGCAAGTTCCTGTTACTCTGAGTTTCTCAGAGGAAACAATGGGTTTATGAAACAAAGGGTCACAAAGTTACTGTTTCTAGTTGACCTCTCACTTTTCTTAAAAGATGTTTCAATAAAAGCATCCTCTCCTTTTGTGAAGGCAAAATAAATAAATAAATAAATAAAGTTTTCTGTTGATGAAATTCATAGGAAGGATGTACTATTATATATGATATCAATGGCATTTGGTGTAACTGCTAAAATACTATCCGTGAATAACTGAACAAATCTTTAAGTTTGGAGAAAGAGATGTAGTTTGGAGTCAAGGCCATGTCTATTATATGAGGCCAGACATTGATTACTGCCTTTGTTTCTTTGTATGAAAAATGTAAAGAATAAGTTTTCAGTTTGTTCTGCTCAGAACAAGACATTACTATTAGAAATGATGGAAGCTAATGAAATCCCTGGGGCATCTGGCAGAAATAAATACGAAGATACTTTGGAAGGATGGGTATTCCAACCATTTTACAAAATACTTGTACAGATAAAAAACCTTGATAAAGGTGAGTTCTCAGTCCAAAATTACGAAGAAGATTAGGCCAAGCAAGAGTGAACAACAAAGAACAGACTGAAATCTTCCTTCTCCCAAATATCTTTGGATAATTAAATACTTGATACACACTATAAAATCTTTGTTTGTTATTTTTGGGTACTGGGAATTGAACCCAGGGGCACTTTACCACCATAGAACTACATCCCCTGTCCTTTTTAAATTTTTGTGTTTAGTTGTAGATGGACACAGTACCTTTATTGATTTTATTTATGTGGGTGCTGAAGATTGAACCCAGTGCCTCACATATGCTATGCGAGAGCTCTACCACTGAGCCACAACCCGAGCCCCTCTCTTGTCCTTTTATATATATATATATATATATGTATATATATATATATATATATATTAGTAACAGGGTCTTACTAAGTTGTTTAGGGCCTCACTAAGTTGCTGAGGCTGGCTTTGAACTCAAAATTCTCCTGCCTCAGCCTCCCAAGCTTCTGGGAACACAGGCATGCATCACTATACCTGGACATACTGTCAAATTTTTTTGTTTAAAATTAGTATGGGTATAAAAGGAGAAATAGAATATATGATCAAGAAATAAGACATTAAAAATGAATAGACTTCAGGATAATGGAAATAAAAGTCATTGAAACTCAAAAAATCAGTGGGAAAATTTAAATATCAAGTTAGATATAGCTAAAAAGAAAATTAGTGAACTGCAAGAGAGATCTGAGGAAATTAACTACAAAATAGCAAAGATTAAGAGTAACAGAGAAATAGAGGCTAGAATGAGGTCTAATAGGAGTTTCAGAAAGGATTCAGAGAGGCAAGAAAGTGGCAGTTTAGAAGAGATGAACATCAAGAAATTTTAGAAATTCTAGATTCGAATTTTAAATGTTAGAAATTTAGATTTGAAACACAAATCTTTTAAACTCCAGAAATATAGCAAATCATAAACAGAGCCACTGCAGAACAATAAAGATAGAATGAAGATCTTAAAATTTGCTGGAGGGAAAAGACATTAAAGAAGAACAAATAGTTGATTATAGACTTCTCAATTGTAGTAATGAATATAATGGAATGAGACATTCCATTGTCCTACGTAGTGGGGAAAATATCACCATGCACTTAGAATCCTGTGCCTAGCTTAATTGTTATGAAATCAGTGTCAAACAAAGATAGGTTAGTACACTATTGATGACAGACATTCTAAAGGATATAATTCAGGATAAAAAAATTAAACTTGTAAGAAAGGAATGCATTGAGGATACACCTATTTATGATATAGCACTCAAGTCTCATATTCTTTTGACCATTATTTTACTAAAGTTGTTACAGATTAACCAAGAAGGATTGCTAAAGGTCCATGGAAATACTGATGTAGATAGACTTTTTTAAAAAAATTAATTTAATTAGTTATACATGACAGTAGAAAGCATTTATGCACTTTGATATATCATACATATATGGGATACAAATTCATTTTTCTGAGTGTACATGTTGCAGAATCAAATTGGTCATGTAGTCACATATATACATATAGTAACAATGTCTGTTTCATTCTGTTATCTTTCCTATACCCACATCCCCTCCCCTCCCATTACTTCCCTTTAGCTAATCTAAGGTAACTCCCTGGTGTCCCCCCCCCACCAACTTACTGTGAAGCAGCATCCGCATATTAGAGAAATTATTTGGCCTTTGGTTTTGTGGGATTGGCTTATTTTGCTTAGCATGATATTTTCCAACTCTAACCATTTACTGGAAAAATGCCATAATTTCACTCTTTAAAGCTGAGTAATGTTCCTTTGAACATATATACTATATTTTCTTTATCCATTCATCTATTGAGGGACACCTAGGTTGGTTCCATAGTCTAACTATTGTGAATTGAGCTGTTATAAACATTGATGTGGCTGTGTCATTATAGTATGCTGATTTTAAGTCCTTTGGGTATAAACCAAGGAATGAGATAGCTGGGTCAAATGGGGTTTCATTCCCAGTTTTCTGAGGAATCTCCATAGTGGTTGCAACAATTTGCATTTCCACCAGCAATATATGAGTGAACCTTTTTCACCACATCTTCACCAATATTTATTCTTGCCTGTATTCTTCATGATTGCTATTCTGACAGGAGTGAGGTGAAATCTTAGAGTAGTTTTGATTTGCATTTCTCTAATTGCTAGAGATGTTGAACACTTTTTCATATATTTGTTGATCAATTGTATTTCTTCTCAATTGTATTTCACTGAAGTGTCTGTTCAGTTCCTTAGTCCATTTATTGATTGGGTTTTTTTTTGTGTGTGTGTGTGTTAAGTTTTTTTGAGTTCTTTATATATCCTAGAGATTAATGCTTTATCGGAGGTGCGGCATAAAAGGAAGTAGACAAATTGTAGAATCTAAAGTGATTATCTGTGTGTGCATATGTGTGCTTGAAATATTATGCATATGTAATGATTGAAAGTAGGAGCGAAGGTCCTGCTTTTTGCTAGGTATGGTGGTACATGACCATAATCACTCTATTTGGAAGGATGAGGAACACAAGTTTGAGGTACCTGGACAACTTGGGGAGACCCTATGGCAGAGTTCAAAAAGTAAATTAAAGATCTGAGTAGGGGCCTGTCAACAGCAAGTGAGTCAAGAAATTGTGGTATATATACCCAATAGAGTTTTACTTAGCCATCAAGAAGAATGAAATTGTGACAATTGCCAATAAATGGATAGAACTAAGACTCTCATGCTGAGTAAAATAAGCTAAATCCAGAAAAGCAAAGATTGAATATTTTCTCTCATTATGTAGAAGCTAGTGCAAAATAAGGATAAAAAGTGGGAAGAAGATCCCATGAAAATGAAAGGGAGATCAGTGAAGTAAAAGAAGGGGATCAAGAGGAAGGGGGGAAGGACAGGAAAAGGGGGAACTCTGGAATGAAATTTACCAAATTATGCAATGTACATGAATATACCCCAGTGAATTCCACCTTTATGTATATCTATAAGGCACCAATTTAAAAAACAAACAAACAATAAATAGAAGGAAGACCAGTAATAGAGACAGGGGAGTAGGAAAGGGAGGAAGGGAAATTGGAAGTATTCAGGATTGACGTGGAACAAGGTATTTTCCACACATGTAGTAATATGTCAGAACGAACTACGTTACATTAATATGTATACTTATAATGCAATAATAAAAACATTTTAACATAAAATAAAGATCTGGAATGTAACTCATTGGTAGAGTTCTTACCCAGCAGGCCTGAGGCCCTGGATTCTGTACCCAGTACTACATACAACAAATACTGTCCTGCTTTTTTTTTGTTAGCACTTTACAGTATTTTACAGCCAGTAGAATAGTTGATATTAATAACTACCTTGAAAGGTAAGAAATGGCTTAATTGTGTTTTGGAAATCAGAAATACTTAAATTTGTTTAGGAATATTTACACAAGTCTTAAAAGAATTTTGGTATCTGGAGGGAAAAATGCTACATTTACATTGAAAACTGGCTGATGTGGAATACCTTGTAAATTAAAAATTACAAAGCCTCTTTTTGATTAAGTTTCTTTCTTAGTTTCTGGAAGTCATTTTTTCCTGATAGGAATTAGGCCAGATGTCTCAGATACATTTATTTGTAAAAGTGCCCTTAATATTATTTTGTTTTAGAGGTGATATTTATCTGACATTATTGTTTATTTATAATGATAATTATGTATATTGATAACCTTTGATATCTTATTACTTGAAAGTGTAGGACTATGTAAATAGGATTTTCCAAGTGAGTGATATAGTGCAGTGACTGGTGGTATTAATGAAATATTCATTGTATTTTTACAGCCAGTATCTTGAAAATTATCTCTGGATGAATTATTCTCCTGAGGTATCTAGCAAGGCCTATTTAATGTCCATCTGCTGTATGGTGAATGAGAAATTCAGAGAAAATGTTCCTGCATGGGAGGTAACATTTAAATTACTTCATGGCTTTTATACTTTGTCCACTTAAACTGTTACAGACATTAAGTGTAATTTTAGAGCAGAACTTTACCCAATAGTAAACTACTATTAAGAAAAAGAGTAGACATGTGAAAGATAATATCAGGCTTTTTTTTTTATTACAACACTTCTAATGTACTGTGAACACTACTAATTTATACTTAAAATTATAAATTTAAAGTTATTTATATTTGAAAAATGTAAATTATAAATATGGAGTTATTTGTCTGCTTTGCTAGACCTGAAAAATAACATAAATTATAGAGACATCAGAAGCTTGGAAAAAAATTATATATTAATAAGTACAATTAGACAATGTTCAAAAGTCAAGACAGTTAGCTTTTTTTTTATTTTTGAGTTTTCTATTTAATATTTTCAAACTGCTATTAACCATAGGTAACTAGAACCTAGAAAATGAATTTGTGAATATTGGGAGACCATGGTACAGATTCAGAGGATATAGAAGATTTAGAAAGTAGAATTGATCTGATTTGATAATTAGTTAAAGTAGCATTAGGAAGGGATTATTTTCAATAATTTGCCAAACTTGGGAAACTGAATATAATAGATGATGGTGTCATTCCCAAGATAGGAATAGAGTGTTGAGAAATACTTTGGAGGGTATAACACTGTGCAGTTGAGGTTAGGACATTGAGTTTGAATTGCCTTTGTATTATCTAGATGAGTCTTGTAATAACTAGATGAAATTCCCTGGTAGAGAGGAATCTAAAGATGTAGCATTATGGAGAGAAATCTGTACTGAAGATGTATATTTACAATCATTAATGTATCATAAAGTAATGTGAGATGGGGACTAAGAATGGGAACATTGCTGTTTAAGTAACAAAGGAAGAGAAGCCTTCAGTAGAGTGAAAAGGAATTGATGCTTGGGTTCAGTGGACTTGGCAGCCATGATAGTGTCAAGGGAGTGGTATTTATTGATGGAAGTTTGGTTTAGAGAAGTTAATGGAAACTAGTGTTGGAGCACACATTTGGAGCACTTGCCTATTACAGTAAGTAGAAGGGGAAGTAGATCAAAGAGATCTGAATATATTTACATGTTAAGAAAGGAAAGCATATTATAAAGCAGAAGAAACTGTCCCTGAGATTAATTACAGTGTGAAAATTAATTTTTGCTAAAGGTGTAGTTTCCTTTGTTCAAATCAAAGGAATTAAAAATACTACAGATTCTTAATAAGAAAACAAACTTAAGCTAAATACAAGCATAGTTTGCACAATGAAAACTAAAAGAATTAGGGCTGGGGATGTGGCTCAAGTGGTAGTGCGCTCGCCTGGCATGCGTGTGGCTCGGGTTCGATCCTTAGCACCACATACAAACAAAGATGTGTCCGCCGAAAACTAAAAAATAAATATTAAAAAAATTCTCTCTCTCTCTCTCTCTTTAAAAAAAAAAAAAAAAAAACCTAAAAGAATTAATGACATTATCTTCCTAGCTAACAATTTCTGTAAGTTTCTCCTGTCAGAAACCTGTATTTGAATCGCTATCATTAATTATAAGTAAGCATGTAATGCCTCTTTACCCATATTTAAATAATCTTGTTTTTTAATTTTGTTAATAGATTCCTAAAAAACTACTGAGTTGCTTTAAGGAACAGAAGTACATGAATAAGCCAGTTCAAAGTGTTTTTATTCTTCTTATTTTTATTTTCAGACTTTTAAGAAGAAGCCAGACCACTTCCCATTCTTCTTTAAGTGCATCTTGAAAGCAGCATTAGCTGAAAATGATGGTGAATTTTCACTCCATGAACAGACAGTCCTATTGCTTTTTCTTGATCATTGCTTCAATAGTTTGGTAATTTTACTTAATGTTTTAGGGAAGCTTTTAAATTTTCTTGTTCTTCTAGATTGAGTTTAGATGTGATTATCTTTGTGGCCATCTTTTCACACAAAAATTTGGGGAATAAAAAGCTTGATTTAAATCACATCAAAAAAATAATTTTATAAATTTTGTTCACTTTTTAGTAGTTTATACTTAATCCTTTATTTTTTATTATTGTTCACATTTTAGTAGTTTGTATTTGATCCTTTCTTTATTATGTAGACTTTAAGAAAAATGATAATGAGAGCTGAAAATTCAAAGGGAGAACACAAAAATTAGTCTGACTAGTTTGAACTTTTTTTATGTTTTTGGTACCAGGGATTAAATTTAGGGGTACTCAACCACTGAGTTGCTTAACACCTCACTATTGCTGAGGCTGGCTTTGAACTCGCAAATCTCCTGTCAGCCTTCTGAGTAAGCTGCTGGGATTACAGGCATACGCCACTACATCCAGCTGACCAGTATGAACTTTTGATGAAATCTGTGCCACAAACTGCATGCTAAAAAGTTTCAGTACTTTTTAGTCTTTATGCTCAGGCTGGCTCATCAGCAAGAGGGTTGTATTTTGAGTTGACTGTTGAAGGACAATAGTGGATGGTCTTTGGAAATGTGTGTGATAACTTTTTCATCCTTTGCAAGATTATCTTCTAAAAAATGAAATATTTCATTTGATCTTTCCTTCTGTGGTTATCCAAAGGCATATCCATATTTAATTATTTATTTATTTTTAAAATTTATTCATTCTAATTAGGTATATATTACAGCAGAATGCATTTTGATTCATTGTACACAATTGCAGCACAAATTTTTATTTCTCTGGTTGTATACAATGTAACATTGTACCATATGTGCAGTCATATGTGTACCTAGAGTAATGATGTCCATCTCAATCCACCATGTTTCCTGTCCCCATACCCCCTCCGCTCTCCTACTTCCCTTTTGTCCAATCACAGTTTCTCCATTTTTCCCATCCCCCTGCCACCATTGTGAATCAGCATCCACTTATCAGAAAGAACATTTGGCCTTTGGATTTTTGGGATTGGCTTACTTCACTTAGCATGATAATATTCTCCAACTCTGTCCATTTACCTGCAAATGCCATAATTTTATTCTCTTTTATTGCTGAGTTATATTCCATTGTGTAGATATACATTTTATTTGTCCATTTATTAAAGGGTATCTAGGTTGGTTCCACGGTTTGGCTATTGTGAATTGAGCAGCTATAAACATTGATGTGGCTATGTTACTATAGTATGCTGATTTTAAGTGCTTTAGGTATAGACCAAGGAGTGGGATAGCTGGATCAAATGGTGGTTCCATTCCAAGTTTTCTAAGGAATCTCCATACTGCTTTCCAGATAGGTTGCACCAATTTGCAATCCCACCAGCAACATATGAGTGTGCCTTTTCTCCCACATCCTCACCAACACTTACTGTTTGTATTCTTGATAACTGCCATTCTGACTAGCATGAGATTAAATCTTAGAGTAGTTTTGATTTGCATTTCTCTAATTACTAGAGATATTGAACATTTTTTCATATATTTGTTGATTGATTATGTATCTTCTTATGAGAAGTGGTATATCCACTTCTCATATTTATTTAAACATAAATATTTTTGTATTGGTAATGCACTTAGAGCCTTTCAGGAGAATGCATAGAATTCTTTCTTATCCAGAAGATTGGTTGATGGATGATTATTGCTTGTTTCTATGTATTGCTTCACTCTGATCTTGTAAAGGCATGTAGAAAAGAATGATGGTACCCCCAATAGATACCGATTTTGCCTCTTTAATGTTAATTAAACAGAGCAAATAGAAATATAAGTAGACATAATTTTTTATGAGAAATTAAACAAGAACAAGGTTTAGTTAGCAGTAGTTTGGTGCTGGTTTTAAGCCAATTTATAATGAAAATTTTTTTTCAGTATGCTGTGAACTTTCTTTATTTGAAGCAGTTACATTTGTTCTATAAAATAACTGAATCCTGAGTAAGCTAATAATGCACCCTGGCTCCTAGAGGAAAAGTAGGATTAGGTTCCTGCAAGTCTCTGGTTGCAGCATTTTTTTTTCAAACTATCAGTGCATAACCTTATTTTATATGTGTGTGTCTGTTAAAGACATCTTATTAATACATATTTTTGATTCAGTAACCTTATTCCTGAGTGAGCTATCCCTCAGGTTATTCCTCAATGGGTTTATCTAGCAAACATGGAGAAAGTACAAAGAAAATGACTTATTGAACATTAGAAGCACTTCAGTTTTGTTCTTGGAGATTCATTTTAAACACTGAAATCACCAATGAAAAGCCCAGTAACTCCGCAAAAGTAGCACTAAAATAGATTGCAAAAAGGATACTTGTTTGTAGTATGAGAAGTGCAATTCAAATAGGGTCATCTCAGCCTTAGCTAGGTATGTACATATCAGGTAACTCAAAATTTTTGAGGCTCTGTGCTATTGATTTGGGATTTATAAATTTTTGTGAATAGGTGAATTTGAAGATATGAAATCAGTTAATAATGAAAACTGTTGTTTAGAGTATTGAACTTTTTAAAATATTAAAATATCACTAATTTACAAGTATTGGTGCCATGTTTTCCCCTCAGGACTTAAAAAGCCATAATACTCCCTGTATAAAATTCAGTTGAAAATGCTAGAATGCTTATAGACTTTTTGCTTCATACCTTTAATAGGAAGTAGACTTGATACGGAGTCAAGTACAGCAGCTTATCTCCCTCCCAATGTGGATGGGCTTACAGTCTGTAAGTATCTAATTTCAGAATATTATACATGTATATGTTGTAAGTGAAGATGTGATAGATTGTGTACCTTTAGTATGGATATAAAAGTGTTAGCTAAAAATCCCTTTTTCTGTGCTTAGAAGTTACCATGCATTAACTTATGATATATGTAGTTTTTATAATTTTAAAGTTTTAATGTGTGTCCTAATACATGTTTCACCTAATTTCAATATTGTAATATAAGTTTAGTATCAATAGAGCTTATAGAGAAAGAAATTATCCCTTTATCTATTGAGCTTATAGAAAAGGGGATAATTTTAGCAATATATGGTTATTATCCTTATTATATTTCTTTGGCTAAAACTATATGCAAACTTGAATTTTTATTGTTTCCTTGATTAAAATGTACATATAGTTAAAGAAGAAGGTCTGGATCATGTGTAATAGTAATGACTTTCATTTTTTTTTTAACCAAATCTTTATTGTGTATATGTGCATGTATCAAATTTACATATTTTAGGGAGTAAAGTTTAAACTGTGAAATTTCAGTGTGACCCTTTATTCTTAATTGTATTTCCTACACATGATTATTTCTGTATAACCCACATGTGTGTACTCATTCACTGTACCAGTTAATGGAATAAAAATATAAGGCACATATGTCTAACTTAAGCTTATGTTAAAAAGTGGTGAATGCCATAATAGAAAATTTACTGATGGCATTTCTATTTTTACTTTTGGTAGTTGCTTTATGTTCGTTGTTTAAGACTCATATTTTTCAGTCATCTGTGATTATGCTCACAAGTGTTAATGTTGATATTTTTCAGACTGAATTGAGACAAAAAAGTTTATCATTGAGCTTAAAATCTTGACTAGAAAAGACAGTTTCTTTTTTATTAATAAGTATTAGAATTGAATTTTAGGAATTAATTATTCTTAGTTTTCAAGGTTTATTTTGTTGCTTTTAGATTTTGTGATATTGCCCTCAGTCATGTACTAGAAAACTTGTTAATATTTAATCTTGTCTTTATCCTTTTAAATATTGAAGTTATCGATAACATAACAATATCTTTTTCAGGCACGATTGGAATTAGAATTAAAAAAAACACCTAAGCTAAGAAAATTCTGGAACTTGATTAAAAAGAATGATGAAAAGATGGATCCAGAAGCAAGAGAACAGTATGTTAACAAAGCTTCATTCCATATTAGCTTATTATGCTGGATTACAATTCTTAGACAGTGTTATTTGTGGCTTCATTTGATATAGTGCCTTGTTCAAATAAGTTATTAATAAGTGCTTTTACTTAGACTGTGTAGAAATATTTTTTACAAAAACCTTAAAAGGAAGCCACAACATCAGCAAAGCTTCAATTTACTTTTCTTCTTTTTCTTTTCTCTGAACCAATGTGCCACTTTTCTTCTCCATTCCTGTTGTCCCTGATCTGTCCCTCACGGAGAGTTCTGTTTTCTCCATAGTCTTCAAGATGTCAACCAGTTCAACTTTTTCTTACTCCTTGACTTTTTTTTTAATTAATTGTTTTTATTTATACATGACAGCAGAATGCCTTACAATTCTTATTACACATATAGAGCACAATTTTTCATATCTCTGGTTGTATACAAAGTATATTCACACCAATTTGTATCTTCATACTTTGAATAATAATGTCCGTCACATTCCACTGTCAGTTCTAACCCCATGCCCCCTCCCCTCCCTTCCCTCTGCCCTATCTAGAGTTTGTCTATTCCTCCCATGCTCCCCCACCCTATCCCAGTATGAATCAGCCTCCTTATATCTGAGAAAACATTTGGCATTTGTTTTTTTGAGATTAACTAACCTCACTTAGCATTGTCTTCTCTAACTCCATCCATTTACCTGCAAATGCCATGATTTTATTCTCTTTTATTGCTGAGTAATATTCCATTGTGTATATATGCCACTTTTTTTTTTTTATCCATTCATCTATTGTAGGGCATCTAAGTGAATTGTGCTGCTATAAATATTGATGAGGCTGTGTCTTTGTAGTATGCTGTTTTAAGTCCTTTGGGTATAGAACAAGGAGAGGGATAGCTGGGTCAAATAGTGATTCCATTCCCAATTTTCCAAGAAATCTCCATACTGCTTTTCATATTGGCTGCACCAATTTGCAGTCCTACCAGCAGTGTGTGAGTGTACCTTTTCCCCCACATCCTCACCAACATTTATTGTTGTTTGTCTTTATAATAGCTGCCATTCTCACTGGAGAGAGATGAAATCTTAGAGTATCTGTTTTGGCTTACATTTCTCTAATTGCTAGCGATGGTGAACATTTTTCATATATTTGTTGATTAATTATATATCATCTTCTGAGAAGTGTCTGTTCAGGTCCTGGGCCTCTTTATTGATTGGGTAATTTGTTTTTGTGGTGCTTAATTTTTTGAGTTATTTATATACTCTGGAGATTAGTCCTCTATCTGATGTATGAGGGGTAAAGATTTTGTTCCCAAGATATAGGTTCTCTATTCATCTCACTGATTGTTTCTTTTGCTGAGAAGAAACTTTTTAGTTTGAGACCATCCCATTTATTTGGTTCTTGATTTTAATTCTTGTGCCAAAGGAGTCTTATTAACAAAATTGGGGCCTAATCCCACATGATGGAGATGAGGGCTTACTTTTTCTTCTATGAGATGCAGGGTCTCTGGTTTTATTCCTATGTCCTTGATCCATTTTGAGTTAAGTTTTGTGCATGGTGACAGATAGGGGTTTAGTTTCATTTTGTTACATATGTATTTCCAGTTTTTTCAGAACTATTTATTGAAGATGCTATCTTTTCTCCAATGCATGTTTTTGGCACCTTTGTCTAATATAAGATAATTATAATTTTGTGGGTTAGTCTCTGTGTCCTCTATTCTGTACCATTGGTCTACCAGTCTGTTTTGGTGCTGTTTTTGTTACTATTGCTCTGTAGTATAGTTTATGGTCTGGTATAGTGATGCCACCTGCTTCACTCTTCCTGCTTTGGCTATTCTTGGTCTCTTATTTTTCCAGATGAATTTCATGATTGCTTTTTCTATTTCTATGAGGAATGTCATTGGGATTTTGATTGGAATTGCGTTAAGTCCATATAGTGATTTTGGTAGTCTGGTCATTTTGATAATATTAATTCTGCCTATCCAAGAGCAAGTGGGTTAGGCTTAGGCTCCCAGGTATGGGAGGGCTGAACTTGGACCTACCCTGCACCTGCGTCCTGCACAAGTTGGTGTGTGTGGATCTGGGCCAGGTCTGGGCTCCCATGGTAGTCTGCTGGTCGGAGAGGCGGTCCTGTACAAGAGGCTGGGCTCCAGCGAGTGTCCGCCCTGCAGGTAAAGGGGTGGACCCCAGCCTACTGTGAGCCTAGTTCCCACAAAGGTTGGAGTGGGCAGATCTCACTCCTTGACTCTTAACAATGACTTTTCTATACCCCAGCCATCATTCATTCATTCAACAAATATTGAGTGTATTGTTTTGCCAGGTATTATTTGTAGCATTGGAGATACAGCAGAGAACAAAGTAAAAAATAAGTCCTGTTTTTGTAGTGCTTATATTCTAGTTGAAAAAGACAGCAATGAACAGATAAATTATGCAATATGTTTGGTGGTAATACATGCTAAGGAAAAAATAAACCAAGTATAGGGATTAAAAGAGTAATTGACAGTGACGCTTACAGCATCCAAATCCAAAATTTTCTCATCTATATTTTATAACAAATTGATTTTTTCCTTCATCTTTGATCAATGTATTTTTTTAATGTGCTATTTAGATGTTGACATTTTTTTTATGGTCAGTTATTTCCCAAGTTTCATGATTTTTATCAAATTCTACTGTGCACAGTTTCAGTCAAAGTCTTTATGGGTTGTTTAAACAGTAATAAACAGTGATGTTTATTAGCAATTGGATAAAAGTTTGTGGTGACTTGTATTTATTTCGTGGAAATAAAGTTATTTAATGGGTGTTGGTAAGCTGTCAAGTGTGAAAATTTTTTTCTATATGTATGTTTTTATTTCATTTTTTAAAAATTTTATTTGTTCTTTTTAGTTATACGTGACAGAATATATTTGACATATATACATGGAATATAACTTCCCATTTTTGAGGTTGTACATGATGTGGAGTTATACTAGTCATTTATTCATATATGAATATAGGAAAGTTATGTCCAATTCATTCTACTGTCTTTCTCAGTCACCTGTCCTCCCTTCCCGTTCTGTCGAATCCTGTGTGCCTCCCCTTCTCCTTTCCCCTCCTGCTTATTGTGAGTTGAGTATGAAATTGACAGTAAATAAGTAGTCTTGTTAAATGACTGGGAGATCATGAGATACTTGCCATGATGGGGAATGTGAAAGGAAGAGTAGTAGTACTGCTACTGGAGAAGATGGTTCCAGTTTTCCCTTTGCAAGTGGAGATTTCTAGCAGATCATTGTTAGAAGAAATGTAATAAGTGCTACTTTTGTAGGTACATATGTAGATAGTTATTGAGGTCATGAGTATGAATGAGATTATTTAGTGAGGTGCATAAACCACAAGCAGAGGGTTGAAGATAAGAAAGTGCATCCTGGAGTCATGTTGGTGGTTACTGAAGAAATTGAAAAGCTGCAAGTCAGAGATAAATTTGGGAGTAAGGGACTGAATATTACAGGAAAGGTTAGAGTACGAACATCCCTATTTTAATTTTTAGCTTCAATCTCATTTCTTTCACAATAGATTTTTAGCTAGCATTTTATCATCTTGGTTGTGTGAACAAGTGATTTTTTTTTTTTTTTTTGGCCAAATATGACTCTTTTTGTTTGTCTTGAAAAGCCCATTTTCCATTACCTTGATGTGATTTAATCTTAAATCTCTCTGGTCCTGATTTCTTTTCTGTCCTTTAACTATACTTCTTTCATTATACTTATAAACGGATGATTGTCATGAACTTAAATTTGGCTTAACTAACTAGGAGTACTCATTGTTTTTTCCTCTTGAACTCACCTTTCTGCTCAAAACCTCTTAATTATGCTAGTCAGTTGGGCTTGGAAAACTCCAGACATCTGAATGGCTCTTTATAACCAGTCAGGCAGTACTATTAGATCCCCACTTTGTCTTTCCTTTCCTCTCTCTCTCTCTCTCTCTCTCTCTCTCTCTCTCTGTATTTGTCTGAGTTGGCCACTTGGCCACTGAGCCACATTCCTAGACCTCTTTTGCATTTTATCTAGAGATAGTCTCTCACTGAGTTGCTTAGTACCTAGCCC